GACACTAAACTGATATTCCTTTACGTCTCTGAAGGAAAATCTTTACTTTGAGAAGAGCTGTGGCAGATTCTGAGGGACAAGAATTTGCAATGTAATGTATAGATGTTTGTATTCAGAGTGTGTTCGCTCTTTCATTTTAACCCTTTGATGCACAACATGGGTCTAAATAGACCCGACTGAGTTTTAATTTTCTATATCTTTGCAAGAAATTAATTTCATCATTCAGTATTCCAGGTATTCCTCAATTAACTTGTTTTTGATCATCACAAATCCTTATTTTTATTTTTACTTTCTTACTTTTTGAATAAAAATAGTTTTTGTATCACAACCCTTCTAATGCGCAACATGGGTCTAAAAAGACCCGTATTCATTTCCTATGTTATTTCAGTGATGGCTGAGTGTTTTCTTTGCTGAATCTTTAAAATATATGTATTTTATCATTTGTTATTCCATGTATTCATTAAATATCTTGTTTTTGATTTCCACAAATCATTATGTTTATGTTTCCTTTCTTACTTTATAAACAAACACAGTTTTTGTATTTCTACATCAATTTTACATACATGGGTCTAAAATGACCCGTATTCATTTCCTATGTTATTTCAGTCATGGCTGAGTGTTTTCTTTGCTGAATCTTTAAAATATATGTATTTTATCATTTGTTATTCCATGTATTCATTAAATATCTTGTTTTTGATTTCCACAAATCATTATGTTTATGTTTCCTTTCTTACTTTATAAACAAACACAGTTTTTGTATTTCTACATCAATTTTACATACATGGGTCTAAAATGACCCGTATTCATTTCCTATGTTATTTCAGTCATGGCTGAGTGTTTCTTTGCTGAATCTTTAAAATATATGCATTTTATCATTTGTTATTCCAGATATTCATTAAATATTGATATTTATGTTTTCTTTCTTACTTTATATACAAACAGAGTTTTTGTATTTCTACATACATTTTACATACATGGGTCAAAAATGACCCATATAGAAACCTTTGATATTTGCACATATTTGCAAGTAGGAACATATTTACTGCATAAATACTATTACTATGGTATTATTACATAATACTATTCACCTGCCACACATTTCACAATTCAACACTGCTGCTTTTGTATATTTGATGCAAGTCTTATTTTATTTTAACCACAGAAAATATTTGATATTTTGTAAAAGATAACTGGACATAATATTTGAATATTAGGCTATGGTTACTTGACCACGAAATCCTAGTGAGAAATTACTTGTGAGAAAGAGAAACATATCCAATACTATTAGCTAGCTAGCTGTCGACATATTCTATTCTAGCTAGCTAATGTTAGCTACACTAAAAAAAGATGGGTTTTTAAAGGGGAACTCAGCAACTCTAGCTATTTCTTCGCTGATTTTCACTTTTGTTGTCGCATGTTTTCTCAACGAGCTCCCCCTACAGCTGTGGGATGTATATTTCACAACAATGTTGTAAAAAAACTCACTTGCGGCCCCTCCTCCCCCTTTCTACCGCTGCTCATGAGCATTTGTTATTATCGGAGCCGGCCAACTTTATCGTGTGGAGCTATACCGAGGTGGGTAATACATCATACACATTGAGGGCGGCGTGTGTGTTTATGTCGAATTGCCATAAAGCATTTTGTGTTTCTCGCTTCTCGCTTCTCACAAGACTTCCTGTTTCCAACTTACTGGGACGTTAGTCCCCATGTTGCAAGGTTGGTTTTCCGCCTAGGAACGTTGGGGGGAGCAGGGAAAGTCACCATTTTCACCAGAACAATTATTAAACCATCCAAATGATTTCTAAACGGTTTCATTAAGTTGAAATAGTTGCCAAATGCCCCTTTAAAGCTTATTTACATGTAATAGGCCTAAAAGTTCTATTAAGAACCGTATAGTCTTGAATAAGCCATTATGCTGAAATGGTTCGATGTGTTAAGAGTTTAGGGTCCTTTTTTCCCCGCCTTTTGATTTTAAAATCTGTAACTGTCAAAGCCACCTGAAATAACATAGGAAATGAATACAGTCATTTTAGACCCGTGTATGTAAAATTGATGTAGAAATAAAAACTGTGTTTGTTTATAAAGTAAGAAAGAAAAAATAAACATAATGATTTGTGGAAATCAAAAACAAGATATTTAATCAATACCTGGAATAACAAATGATAAAATACATATATTTTAAAGATTCAGCAAAGAAACACTAAGCCATGATTGAAATAACATAGGAAATGAATACGGGTCATTTTAGACCCATGTATGTAAAATTGATGTAGAAATACAAAAACTGTGTTTGTTTATAAAGTAAGAAAGGAAACATAAACATAATGATTTGTGGAAATCAAAAACAAGATATTTAATCAATACCTGGAATAACAAATGATAAAATGCATATATTTTAAAGATTCAGCAAAGAAACATTCAGCCATGACTGAAATAACATAGGAAATGAATACGGGTCTTTTTAGACCCATGTTGCGCATTAGAAGGGGTATCCATAGCTTGCGCATCAAAGGGTTAAAGAGCGCTTGATAAGACAGAATCCGAAAGGGAAAGGATTAGAGGATTATGGTGTGTTTTCCCTGGAGACGATCGGCCACGCTAGACCAGGCTAACATCCGTCACCGCCAAATTAATATGGGGCTCAGATAACAGGCACCAACACTTCTCCTATCAGCACAGAGGAGTGTGTCCTCTCCATGAACCCGGCTTACTGTCACACATCTCATACGAGCACAAAGGCGATCATAAAGAGGTTTGAAATGGCTTCGAGTCGACCCTAGATTATGAAAACCGCAGAAACCATCTCAGTCTTTGTTGATGTGACACATTAACACGTCATGATAAAAGTCTTTGTTGATGTGACACATTAACACGTCATGATAAACACACACACACACACACACACACACACACACACACACACACACACACACACACACACACACACACACACACACACACACGCACTAATACCCAATGACACACAAGGATAAAGATAACACCAACGCTAAACGTGAATACGTGCACATGCAGTCGTTCTCATGAAGCTTCGTTATATGTTTTTAAAACCACAAAAAACATCTGTTGGTGCTGTTAGTTTAAGAGAATTTATGAAGACAAACAAGCATACGAACAGAAATTGATTGGGTTATTATGGCTGCACAGTATTAAAGGACTTTCATAAAAGAGGAAATAGGTTGTCTTTAAACAAGCACAAATTAAGATTTCTAATGTAAAACTTTTTTTGGTCTTCTCTAACTTGTAATACTTGTCATGCAGGAAAAAGTTTCACCCGACATGTTCTGCACTCCAACAGCTGAGTTGATGCTTAATGTAAGTTTTGTGGTTTCCATCCATGTCACCATATTGTCACTTTTGAGTAACAGGTTGACAAATCAATGAATGTGTCAGATTTATGGCCTACAGAGGTGCTAGTTGGTATGTGAAAGAGGAAAGTGTTGACATGATAGTTGTTGCTTGTTCATATTAAAATATTTCTCTCCTGCAGCTCTTAAAAATAAAGTTTCTTAAAGTAGTTTTTTGCAGTAATGACAATGAACCACCATTTGGGGTTCACCATAGAACCTTCCAGAGAACAGTTCTTAAAGAACCATTTTTTCTTAGTGTAAAGAGCATTTAATAAACCGTTTTTCCACTATAAAGAATCTTTTGTTCAATTGAAAGGTTCTTTTGAAGTTCTTCATGGAACCATATAGCCTAGATGGGAATTCATCATTTAAATTGACTAATTTTCATGTTTGTGTGAGCCGCATGGATATTTGTCAGAATGAGAAGTACTGTATGTGTATATAATTGTCCTCTAGTGCCACCTGCCATTAACAAAGCAGAAGTAAAGCATCCCATAATTCACAGCAGGGGCTCAGCCAATAAGAAAATAACAGAAACTGGGTCACACAGCTGAGAGTCTGTCTATGAAAGAATGTACATGGATGCAGTGTTGTGTAAGAACATGAACACACAATGTCTCAGAGTTACACTTCCTGGCTGCTGAGAAACTTTGTTGTTCAGGTATAAAAGGGTTGATCTGACATGGCCATCTCAGACTAAGCCGTCCCAGACTAAAATGCATGTTTGAGCTTTGCTTTGCTTTACTCTCTCTCGGGGTAAAATTTTTGTGGTCTAGCCTGCAGATGTGCATTTGATATTTAAGTCAAATTAAAAGTTAAAAGTACTATTTTATCTGTATAGTTTGATATTGTTTGTACATCTACGTCTGTATAGATATATATCCATACATATATCCCTCATCCAATCATCCTTCTATTATGGATCAATATCATGGATAGAAATATAGGAAAGGGCTGCACAGTTTTGGAATAAATAAATAAAATCATCAAATATTGTAATTGCTATTGAAGAAAACAGTGATCAATGCATTGTAAACAAATGTGAAAAAAAAATCATACTTGGTTTTCATTTCATTATCTTTGTACACTTGGCGGCTTAGTTGTAACACTGCAACAACTAACCCTGCTGTGTAAAAAATATTTTAAGCCTAGCTAACAGTTGCTAGGAGTTGCTATGTTTCAAAGTGGTGCTATCTTTTAGCCTAAAAGACAGTGATTAAGTAAAAATTAGATTTGGTGACATACACACCCAACTCAGAAACCGAAAAAAAACCGTTGTCTTCAAATGATATTGAGCTTTAAATGTCATATTTTGTGTATGGTCCCATACAGTAGTGAAATACATAGCAATATTTACACATGATTTAACAGTTTATTGTCATAAATAAATATCAAAAATCTTAAAGGTGTGCATCTTACCTGAGACCTAGATGAACACTTTAGTTGGTTTTATGACTAAGTCATTGTCTTCAAATGCAATTGAAGTTAGAGACGTTTATACCAATGTCGCGTGTAACTTTAGAGACGGTCCCTAAATAAAACTTCATGCCAGTTTCCTGGACTCTCTTTTTTTCACTGTAGGCTACATGGTACAGTGTTCGTGTAAATAGCTGGAATTACCTCTACTACAGCTTATTATTGTTTGGCTGTTACTCTTCAGACATGTATGTTTGGAATATCGTCGCATTTCTGTGCTGTGTGGTAAGTCATGCCTTTAAACCTAATTCATTACTAGATATATCTGAAAAAATATATTATAGCCTACGTCCTACATCGACTATTTTACTAGGGGAGTACGGGAATTTATGGACTTGGTTTGGCTATTTTTAACTGATTTGAATACAATCACCAAATATAGTAGATTAATACCTACAATTTAATGCCGGTTTGGTTGAAAATAGTATAATTAAATTGTATACTAAAAATGAGTTGTAAATAGTTTCACTTTCGATTTCGAGTATTCTGAAGCTATTTGAGGTCGTCACTCTGGTTTATCCAACTAATGGCTAACAAAAGATCTTTTTTAAAAAACATTTCAATAAGAAAATATAACTTTAATTTCTTATTTTATCTGTAAAATGCATTTTTTCGTGTGTCAGATTTTCGCTGTAGGGTTGACAGGAGGCAGGCGCATGCGCAAGAGACGCGACACGTGTGATCAGGGGACATACCAGCATGAGGGGAATACTTGCTGCCTCTGTCCAAAAGGTAAGAAGACCTTATTTTTGTTAGCGAGGTAGACTTCGTGTCTTATTCCACATCAGAAGTGTAGCGTTAGGGTCTGGAAAGGGTTCGCCTATGTAAAGGTTAATGTAGGCTACATACAGCAGGGCTTTATTTTATTTTTTTCCTTCAGTGATTTTTGTTTTTCAAAACCATTTTTGTTTCCACTGGCAGTGGAGTGATGTGAGAGACCTGAAAGTAGCGTTGTCATGGGCAACGGAGAAATAAAAAGTTTAGCAGTCAGTAGATATTTGACTACTCTAATTGACCAATCAGAATCAAGTATTTCACAGAAGCATGTAATTATCTTTATTTAAAAGGAATAAAGGCAATAGGATGTTCACAAATGTATGTATTTGTGTGTGTGTGTGTGTATGTATGTGTGTGTTACAGGTTACCGGGTCTCGAGGGACTGCACAGACAAAAATATCACAGGTTGTAATCTGTGTGAGTCTAACACCTATTTGGACCACCCGAACAATGATTACAATTGCCAGCCTTGTAAAATATGCGATTCCAGCGGTAGGTGTTAACATCTTATCCTTGTTAGTTAGTTTACTCAGGTTAATGGTTATTTTGTGCAAATGTTTGTGATTGCTTAAAAGCCCATTCAGAGTGGCCATTTTTCTATTATACTATATAATAAACATGCAAATTTAACAAATGAACAGTAGCCAGTCAACCACAACTTAGAAAATATTGCTCAAACTTTCTAATGCCAGAGGTGGGACTGTTGTCAAAGGGTAGTATGGTGCATCTTGAAGCTCAAATTGAAGGACAGGCAAAAAGTCTAATTTGTGCTTTGTCTCCCTGCTTTAGCAAACATGGAGGAGAAAGAGAGATGTTCACCGTTCTCCAACACTGTCTGCCGGTGTAAGGAGGATCATTACTGTGACCAGGGTGACCAGTGCAGGATCTGTAAGCCTTGTGACACGTATGTAGTAGTCAGCCAAAGACCCTTTTCTCTCTGGACAGAATGACAGATGTGTGTGTGAAGAAAGTTATAATGTGAGTTTTAATGGAGACGAGTGTTCCCTCTAAAAAGCTGTGTGCAGATGCACGCTTATTTTGCTTCCACACAAATCACAAGAAAATCCACACAGAAGTCAGACTCCGAAACGTGTGTGGGGGGAAAAGCATGTCAATTTGATTTTCACTGCGAAACTGAAGCTGTGTGTGCTAATTCCTCAGTCACTGAAATCCGGATGGATGCAGCCATTATCTGTGTCCAAAACAAAAAGCCCTGTCTTTTAATTATCTATTTGTTTATAACTTTTTCCCCCTCATGATCTCAGCATGTTTTTTTTTATTCTTAAATAGACAAGACAGAAAAATAAACAATTCAAATCCTGGAAAAATTGTCCTTAACATTTGAATAATAAATATTTGTTTGTTTGTTTTTAGTTTCTGTGTAAAATGAATCGTGCTTAAAGAGGGAGTCGGCAAGGGCTTCACATTTCTGATACGCAGGGTGTTTCTGCTCAGATGCCCGAAGGATATGCCCAATATACATTTATTTTATAAATTGTTCTTTAATTTAAAGGTTTGCTAAGGAAGAACAAAAGTTAGAGGGAACATTGAAGACCCAGTTCCTTCAAAATCAGAATTTTTGTTTTAGCGTTCAGCATTTCATAAGCTTTATATTTTGAAAATTTGCTTTCAGCTCAGTATTCAGTCTTCTCTCTGTTGTGTTCATGTTTATCCAACAGGTGTGAGGAAGTGAAAACAAAATGCACAGAAACCAACAATACAGTGTGCAAAGATGCAAAAGACACATCGATGTCAAATGGCATGTATATCCACAAGCTACACACATCCACAGGCATAGCCAAGGGATAAGTTGTTAAAATGCTCCTGTTCCAAGTGCTCTTCTCTATACACACACAGTATAAGATGTGACTGGAAATGTACTCTAGTCAAGCTTATGCAGTTTAAACACAAAGTACAGTACAGGGGGTGGTAATGGACAAATATCAATGGTTTCTTCTGTTCCAGGGGCCATTGCAGCTGCTGTTTTGGTTCCGTTATTCATAATCATAATCTGCATGGTTCTCTTTTATGTATGGAAACAAAAAAAGGACAAAAAGAGCAGAGACAAAGTGCCTAAGGAACAGGTAATTTATCTTTTTTTAAGTGTTCATGGCACCCTTGTGGTGTTCCAGTGGAACTGCATATTAGTTTGAGTGTGTATTTCAAAACATTTGTGCCTGATTTTTTGTCTTCCTTTTTTTCATATAGGTACCCCTGAAAGGCAAGTGTGCTTGTACTTTTCATCTACATAAAAAAGAAGAAGATATATATATATAAAATATTTCCCTTTTGTTTATCAACTTCTAATTATTATTTGGTCCCAAACTGGCCCCTTCTGGGTGGTTAATACAAGTTTAATTAATTAATTCAAGCTACATGCACTGGATTTTAAGTTTTAGAACATTTTTAACTATTTAATTATGTTGTTTATTCATTATGTTTTTACATATTATTATTTATTATGTTTATCTTTGAAAATGACAAAATCACACAAATCAATTTTAGCATTAAACAAACTATACTGTCCCAAATTATGGTAACAGGATTGCAAATCCTTGCATTAAAGGTGCAAATTAAATTTGCTCTTTACCATTAAAACAATCTGCAAGTTTCATAGCTTAAAATGCTCCCATCTTTTTAAACAAAGCATTTATTTTACCAAGCTGTGGGATCTGTGACATCATACGGGCATATACATTTTGCATATGATTGCCTAGAGCAAGACATTGACGAATCATCGACATCATCGCACTACAAGCCACGCCCACTGCCAATCATTTGCTTAATGGCTGACTGCTTTCTACTCCGGACATGAGTGACGCATTAATTATAATCGTCCATTATAATCACTGCACTGTATACACTAAATACAGACGCCTATTTAATCTCTGACATACTGTACTCCACGTGCCTGAGTCTGCTGACAACAGGTCAAATGGAAGTGTAAACAATGTGTCCTGTTTAAACAGCTTGTTTGCGTTTATGTACAGATGTCAGAAGGACACCTGCGTGGGGTCCCGGATCACGTCGGAGGATTTTGTTTGTTCTGAGCATTTGACTGTAGATTCTTTTGTAGGATCATTACACAGAGGCACAGTGTAATGGAGAGTTGGCAAAGATATTTTTGTTGAAAGATGAGGCAGACAGCTGTATTGGATCTGACTGCAGCTACAGTACATCACGATTCATAAGTAAACAATTTGATAATGCTTTATCAGTATTATAATGCTTTCAAAACACTTACTCTAGTGCAATAACGAGTGGGAATTGATATTTTTGTCAATGGAATGAAATTAGCCAATCATAACAGTATGTTTGCGCGCAAAAAAACTTCATTAGCATTAAAAGTGAACCTCAAGGAACATATTAAAATAATTGAAAAAAAAATCCCATGTCATGACCCCTTTAAATGAAGAAAAGGCTTAATTAAAGACTCGGTTTGGCCATGTGAGTTTTTTATTTTTAAGATTAAGCACCTGTTTTTGGACTGTTTTATGTTGGAAAAAAAAATAACTTTAAAAAAAAAATGCATGTTATTTTGTACTCTGTACTTGGAAAGTGCCTGGATCGTCAGTCAGCAGATTGTTATGTAAAAGAAACTTCTTTAGGGTGATTCAAGACCCCATTGCTAAATTATCCCGCTTGTGCAGCCACTTGCTACATAAGTTAATAATTGAACACAAAATATTATTTTGACATTTTATTACCTCAAGATGACACAATATCTGCTTGAGCAGTTGTTGTGGAATAACAGACCGCTAGATTGAAGAATCAGAATTGAGTATTGCAGGAAGCCGTGGAAAGTTATAAATGAATGATGCGTGTTCTGCACTTGAAAATATTTTTCTCCACAAAAGGGGGGCCCGCCAGAAAAAGTTTAGGAAACACTGGTTTAAAAAATAGCAGCATAAGAAACTTAAATCAGTGATGTTTTTTTCTGTGTAGATTTGGACCTGAACCCTCACCTGTTTGAAATTGCTGATCATCTGGGCTGGAAAGTGATGAAACGTGTTGCCCTGCACTGTGGCATGACTAAAGCTTATATTGACAATCACGAGTGTAACCACCCTAATGATGCGAGAGAACGGACCTATGGACTTCTGCAGGATTGGTCCCAGAAACAAGGTTTATATGAAGCCTACCCAGCTCTCATCAGAACTCTTCATGCCATAAAGGAAAGAAGAACAGCAGATGAGATCAAGAAAATTGTTGAGAAAGAACAGGCTGAAACTCAGCCATAGACTGAACAAGAGATGTACTTCATTTTTAACATTGTGTATAGCACTTTACTGTGTCAAATTTAAGTTATAAATAACAGCCATATTGTTAGTTTTAAGTTTCATATTGAGAAATGTGTTTCATATTGAGAAAACACCTGGTTTATTAGGATGCCCCAAAATAGGCTAGTTTAGACTGATTTGCAAACAGAAAGTCAAACAATCAGAATAATTCAATCTTATTTCAGTTTCATTTCTTTTTCACTCAGTAAACCTCCACCCTGACTTTATTAACTTGTAAGGTAACTGTTTTAATTATGTTTATAATAGGTAGGTAGGCTTTCAGAATGGATTGTATCTTTGTTTACAATGTTACAGTCTGTATATGCTGGATAAGTTCCCTTGAAATGTTGAAAGGCATGTTTCAAGTAATTGCAGCCCTGTTTGCTGAGGACATCCGCTGTATAAAACAAAGTGTGATCCGGGAGCAGGGAACAGAAGAGGCCGGAGTTCAGCTGCAGGTCAACAAAGCGAACCTGGCTTGGGTCTACAGTGACTTTGTAAACAGCAGCACACATTGAGAGTGAAGCTGAATATAAATTTGTTGGCAACACTTTACAATTAGGGTGCATTTGTTGTTATTAGTTTACATGAACTAACAATAAAAAATACTTCAAAAGCATTCATCTATCTTAATATCAACATTTATTAATACATTATTTCAATCAAAAGTTGCATTTGTTAATATTTAATGGAACAGCTAAAATGAACTCAAAATAATTGACTAACATTATTAACAAATATTATTAAAAACTAACAAATGTATTGGTCATTGTTAATTTAAGTTAATGCTTCTTGTTAAATATTACCAATTTTTTTTTATATAATATGGTAAATGCAAATCAATTCAACCACCTGAATAGCCAACTAGAAAAAAAGTAGGTCACACCCACATATTATTATTATCAATATCAAATGACGAAACATTTCTGGAATATATGATCTAATAATTATCACTGACACTTTAAACCTGCATCTAAAGAGTTTATGCTTCTTATGAGGAAGAAGGCAGGCTCTAGACTTTATCACAGTCATTATGTAAACTACACTTCATTGAAGTAAAAAAACGAAACCTTAGACCGAATAGAAACTGAGAACAATCTTGAGCTGACGTGTTTAATGACTGTTTTGGTAGATAAGAAGATGATTTTATGAGCGTGATCATTATAAATACAGAACAATCTCTCAGCAACTCACACAAAGCTCAAATCAGCATTGCTAGAAGGAACATCTCAAACCAGACCACCACTAACCATTATTATGGAGTAAGTACTTTTCCAATCAAATATGAAAATATCTAGTAGTCTAATGTAGAAAGTTAAAGTGATTTACCAGACTAAACTCAAGATTGTGTAAAAATGTTGTGGCTTAGTTGAAACTGTTGATCATCTGTCCCATGACTGCTACGATATATTTGTATGTAAACCAAAACACAGCATTTGTAACTCTTCATTAATAGATCTTTATTTCTGAATGTGTCAGTAACTCTAGTCTAAAACAACGTCTTGAGAGGCTGGAGTGCCACTTCACCTGGGATCTGGGGCAACATCGAAATGAACTCCAGGGGATGAAGAGGAAAATGCAGAATGTGGACCAGGAAACATGCACTTGGCTGGTTCACTGCTACAACCTGCTGGGCTACATCCATCAGACTCTTGGCTCCAACACAGAGGCAGTGAAGCACCTCCACAAAGCAGAAAGTGTGATCCAGGAGCAGGGAACAGAAGAGGCAGGAGTCCAGCTTCAGGTCAACAAAGCAAACCTTGCTTGGGTCTACTTCCATTTGGGAGAGATGGATAAAAGCAAAGGATATCTAGAAGAGGTGGAGAGGCTTCAGCGAATGCATCCTGCTCCACCTGGATGCACTTTACACCCTGAAGTCAGTGGAGAGAAGGGCTGGACGCTGGTGAAGTTTAACAAGTCCAAGAAGCGCCAGGCGATTGATTACTTTAAGATGGCTCTAAATGCAGAACCAGATAGGAAGGAATGGTTCAAAGGACTTGCCATAGCCATGAGCAGGGCATATATAAAGTCTGAATTCACTCCAGAGCTGGAGGCTGATATTCTAGAGCAGGTGAAAACCGCATCAGAGATGGACCCAAATGATTTGTTCCTTCAATCCCTCTATATACTAAAAAAGTCAGAGGTGCAGGCCAAAAACAATGATGAGGAGGTACAAAGTTTTCTAGAGAGAACCCTAAGTACAGGAAACTTGGTTGGTTTGGATTATGTTCTCGAATACTTTAAACTAATTTCCATTGATCGAGCTATTCAAGAGGGACAAAGGGTTAGGGAAAAGTTCCCCACTTCCGCTAAAGTTTTGAAAATCCTGGCAGATGTATACAAATGTAAAGTGTTCTCCATGAAGGAAGACAGTCAGGAAAGGAAAGCTTGTGCTCAGAAAGGCATTAAGCTCTTTGAGGAGGTTGTCAGAGATTACCCAGATTGTGTAAGAGGAAGGCTTTCTCTTGCAACACTACACCGTTTCGCACACAACACTAAGAGAGCCGATGAGATTTACCAGCAGCTTCTATCAGAGGAAGATGATCTCCCTCCTCATACCCAACAGTTACTTTACTATAGTTACTCGTGCCATCTATATCAGCGTAGACGGTCCAGAGACCAATCAATCGACTATCTCATGAAAGCAGCAGCAATCCAAAACATTTCACAAGACAGACAGAAGAGCATTAGGCTTCTTAAAAAAACTGTGGAGAATGGCAGAAACTCTCGCTGTGAGGAGATTTCAAAATTTCTAAAGATTGTTCTCAAAGATGAGTAAATATTCTCTTTATTTCACTTCATTTATGCAACATGAATAGCATAGCATACAATAGCTAGAAAAATCCCTCAACCTAGATCCAATGTCTCAATAGGTATTAAGCATTAAAGGAGAACTCCGGCGCAAAATGAACCTTTGGTCTAATTACACATTGTTACCTAGTCAACCGTTATCTGAGATTTGTTTTCATGATTATCGAATGTAAATAGTTTTATCTCTAAAAACAGTTTAGCCTATAAAGCTAGTATAACACTAGTATATTGAGTATGGTGTAATGACAAATAAAAATCGCTTGTTAATACCACTAACAAGGCTGAAAATAGACCCACACTAACACGGTAGCATAATGAGGGTCCCTACCTTCAAACCGAAGCATTGAGAACTTTGTCAGTGTCCAGACAGTTTAATAAGAAGATATTTTAAACATACAGTCAACTTCGCGTATACAGGCAGAAGCCATCTTTGAAATACAGCCTTTACCAGTCGATCTACGAACGCCGATCCAAGTGCGCTGGTGAGAATGTGAACGAGCTATAAGTTGTGATAAGGTGAGCGCGAACAGCAGGCTTGGATCGGCGTTCGTAGATCGACTGGTAAAGGCTGTATTTCAAAGATGGCTTCTGCCTGTATACGCGAAGTTGACTGTATGTTTAAAATATCTTCTTATTAAACTGTCTGGACACTGACAAAGTTCTCAATGCTTCGGTTTGAAGGTAGGGACCCTCATTATGCTACCGTGCTAGTGTGGGGCTATTTTGAGCCTTGTTAGTGGTATTAACAAGCGATTTTTATTTGTCATTACACTATGCCCAATATACTAGCGTTATACTAGCTTTATAGGCTAAACTGTTTGTAGAGATAAAACTATTTACATTCGATAATCATGAAAACAAATCTCAGATAACGGTTGACTAGGTAACAATGTGTAATTAGACCAAAGGTTCATTTTGCGCCGGAGTTCTCCTTTAAGTGTAAAGATGTGTCACATTTACTGTTGTTTGGTGAATTTTCATGGGGGAAATCCAGTCATTTCAATAAGAATCCATGTGATCCAAAGAATTTGCAATAGGTTTAATCTGGTCAGATTTCACAATGGGTTCAAGTTGGTCATGTGGATTCACTGTGTTGACCAAGAGAAAGTTGTTTGGTTTGAATGAGACTTACGAACTGTGCTTCATACATCTCTACACTTTTGGAAATAGACTTTTAACCGTGAAATTTCACCAAATCTGACGACAGCTTAAATAAAGGTGGATTAAATAAATGCATCATAAAATATGATTTCTTAATATGTTATACATTTTTTATGTATTCATTTTTGCATGATATATAACAGCTATTCATATAATACCAATAGCAAGAAACAAGGTAACATTAGGTATATGAATCATGGGCGTAGGTTTGGTCTCAGCTTTGGTGGGGACATCCCATCTGACCCCCTCCCCCCCCTGACCCCCCATCTCATCTCATCTCATCTCATCTCATTATATTGTATCCTGACCCCCGATACACCATCCTGTATACTGTCAATAAAGAGCTAGTATAACTGTATAATCTCAAAAATGCACTCTCAAAAAATAAAAACCTGAGACAACCAAACATTTTATTTAACATAAATTATTATGTATCTTCTATTCTATATCAAATTCTATTGATATATTCTATCCTTAAAAAAAAACTAGTTTAACCCTCCTACCAGATATTGTTATTTGGATATTATCAAACAAATAATGATTCATTATATTTGAATAACCAACAGTGTTTACTATTGCCTTTTTAATATTGCCAACATATTTTTCCAGACATGTGTCTAGCAAGTAGGCTACACTCACAAATACATTACATAAACAGAATGTAGAAACGAAAAATGTCTGAGATGATCCACTGTTTATGACTGCAAGATTCTAAGTTAAGGTAGGCTAATTAACATTCAGTGACTTGCTAACGTCTATCATGATAGCGCGACTTCTATGAGTCTATCCGTGCTGCACACCCCTAATTAATGCTCCTAACCTTGAAAGATTGCAGAAGCTAGGTTTAACTGTAACAATATCCTGGGTAACCAGGATCACCAGTTAATACTATTTTCCACAGTAGAATCTGCATTTGAAAGCCTGGTCAGTCACTACTACTGCTAGTTATTTGTGTGGCTAATTATTTTTGCCTACTTACACTCTGCTTTATGAAAAGCTTCGTATGTCCCCTTTCTTCTTCTTGGGTGACATAGCTGATCTACAAAGTACAAAAAGGGGCAAAAAACGGAATATTAAAATGTTTTACCCTGGCCTTTGTATATGGCATGCAGAGAGACAGACAGCCCTGGTAACTTACCGTCGGGCTTCGTCACGCGCGCACACACACACAAACACACACACGCACACACCACCCGCTCGCTGCCAGTGAGTGCAAGCACAAAAAGTAGTCCCGGCCCGCGCGTGTAGCCTGCCTGTCAGATACCCCGCCGCCAATCAAATTACGGCGTATCTTGTACTGTCGTCGTCCTGGCCGTTGGAATCGATCCAAATAGCAGCGCAAATATCAAAATAGCAGTTCAAAGGAGCTTGCTAAATATTGGTGGGGACAAATTTGTCATCTCAAAATATTGATTGGGACTAGTACCTAGCGTCCCCCCCTAAACCTACGCCCTTGATATGAATGTCGTGGCTTTACATTTCTCATTAAGAGTATTTTGACAGTAGTAGCCCATGTACAATTTTATCTGTAACAATTTATATTTAATAATTCTTTCTTTTTTTCTGTATAGTGTAGTGAAGATCTTTTTTAAACAACATTTTAAAATGGCATTTTATAGGGGACTTATCATATTTTATAACAAAGGCACTGACAAATTATCAATTAGTGTCACACTTCACCTTTATTCACACCCTTTAAGACATATGACTACTACACTATATGAAATACTAGATATAAATAGATTCCCCTATATGTCTAATTGCCAGAATAATTGTATCAGCTGATAAGGAGTTCTCTCTCAATCCAAGGATATGTCTCACTGTAAAACTGCAGCAATTTTCCATCCCATTGCCTGTAATAAAAGCACTTTAAATGGAACTTGTGACAAAGTTATTCAATAAATCTGTTTATTCCTTATTACTTTAATTTCCTGTTTCTGTTCATCAAGGAAAGAGTAAACTGACTTTAAATACACACTGAATCTGATCAAGAGAGAAATAGCTGCAGAATCAGCTGGAAATAGTCAAATGTTTTAAAAACAGTGAAACTGACTTTGTAAACAGCAGCAAATATTGAGAGTGAAATTGAATATAAATTCGTTGGTATACACTTTACAATAAGATTGCATTTGTTATCATTAGTTAACTTCATTAGTTGACATGAACTAACAATAAAAAATACATCTAAACCATTCATTTATCTTAGTCGATATCAGCATTATTTAAATCAAAAGTTATATTTGTTAATATTATTTAATGGAACCGAGCTAACATGAACTAAAAATGAACAGCTTTATTTTGACTAACATTAACACAGTTAGTTCATGTTGTTTATTGAAAAGTGTTACCAAATTTTGGTATATGGTAAATATGCAAATCAATTTAACCATCTGAACAGACAGCTAGAAATAAAGTAGGTCACGCCCACATAATATTATCAATATCAAATGATTAAAAAATGTCTGGAATATAATAATTATACATGACACTTAAAACCTGCATCTAAAGGGTTTATGCTTGAGGAAGAAGGCAGGCTCTGGACTTAATCACTGTCATTATGTAAACTACACTTCATTGAAGTAAAAAACCGAAACCTTAGACAGAATAGAAACTAGAGAACAATCGTGAGCTGACGTGTTTAATGACTGTTCAGTATTCAGGTAGATAAGAAGATGATTTTATGAGCGTGATCATTATAAATACAGAACAATCTCTCAGCAACTCACACAAAGCTCAAATCAGCATTGCTAGAAGGAACATCTCGAACCAGACCACCACTAACCATTATTATGGAGTAAGTACTTTTCCAATCAAATATGAAAATATCTAGTAGTCTAATGTAGAAAGTTAAAGTGATTTACCAGACTAAAAATGTTGTGGCTTAGTTGAAACTGTTGATCATCTGTCCCATGACTGCTACGATATATTTGTATGTAAACCAAAACACAGCATTTGTAACTCTACATTAATAGATCTTTATTTCTGAATGTGTCAGCAACTCTAGTCTAAAACAACGCCTTGAGAGGCTGGAGTGCCACTTCACCTGGGATCTGGAGTGCAGTAAAAATGAACTCCAAGAGTTTCTGAGCAAGCTGAAATATTTGGACCAGGAAACATGCACTTGGCTGGTTCACGGCTACAACCTGCTGGGCTACATCCATCAGACTCTTGGCTCCAACACAGAGGCAGTGAAGCACCTCCACAAAGCAGAAAGTGTGATCCAGGAGCAGGGAACAGAAGAGGCAGGAGTCCAGCTTCAGGTCAACAAAGCAAACCTGGCTTGGGTCTACTTCCATTTGGGAGAGATGGATAAAAGCAAAGGATATCTAGAAGAGGTGGAGAGGCTTCAGCGAATGCATCCTGCTCCACCTGGATGCACTTTACACCCTGAAGTCAGTGGAGAGAAGGGCTGGACGCTGGTGAAGTTTAACAAGTCCAAGAAGCGCCAGGCGATTGATTGCTTTAAGATGGCTCTAAATGCAGAACCAGATAGGAAGGAATGGCACAAAGGACTTGCCATAGCCATGAACATGGAATTTGCATCATCTGAATTCACTCTAGATGAGATTGTAGAGCAACTGAAAATTGCACATGAAAAAGAACCAAATAGTTTGTTCATTCATTCTCATTATTTACTAAAACTGTGCAAACAGAAAAAGGTGGACATTGAAAAGGAGATGCAAGGTTTACTAGAAAGAACTCTTGAAACTGGAAACCTGGAGTGTTTGCATGTTATTCTCAGGTATTATAGTGAACAGGATTCTTTAGATAAAGCTATTCGAATAGCAGAGACAGCTCATGAAAAGTTCCCCTCTTCAGTTAAAGCGTTGAAACAATTGGCAGACTGCTACAAATGGAAGGTTTACAACATGAAAGACAGCGAGGAAAGGGAGACTTTGGCTAGGGAATCCATTAAGCTCTTTGAGACGGATCTTACATATTACCCTCACTCATACAAAGTAAAGATAGACCTTGCATCACTGCATTGTTACACACACGAAATTGAGAAGGCAGATGAGATTTACAAGAACCTCCTGTCAGAGGAAAATGATATTTCTCCTCATAGACAACAGCACTTATTTTATAGTTATGCCCAACATCTAAATCATAATAAATCACAATCCAGAGATTCAGTCTCATTTTACATGAAAGCAGCAGAAATCCCAGTAATGACAGAATGCAAACAAAAGAGTATAAGAGTCCTTAAAAGCATTATGAGGAGGGGCAGAGACCCTCGCTGTATGGAAATTCAGCATTTTCTGGAGGGAATTAATTCTGATTAAAATGTGCTCGAATGCATCAGACAAGTTATGAACAATGTCCCAACGTCATACATCAATCCTCAAAAATCATTATGGAGGATCTTTAAATTTCACTCAATGCAGAAACCGTAATGAAGAAATGGAGGGGAAGAAAATTAAGAAAAACATGAAAATGGGACAACTATCTTAATTCCCAATCTTTAGTCATTATACTGTATTCAGTACTTTGTTGTGTTAATGGACTGTAGATTCCAATACCTGTTCATTGTTTCCACTGAAGTGAAAAAAACTTCTTGGAGCTGGATCATATGCTTATTGCATCTAGTTATAACTATTGTTCACATATGAGACGGAAAACACTTTCGCAAATGCGTTCCTTTGAGACTTTCATTTCTGAAATGTGGATATACAGATGTGTTGCTTACAGTAGCTACTGTTTCAAATACAAGAATAAACATGTCTCTCTTTTATTTCTGATTAGTTTGTTGATAAGATTTACTTGACCTGCTCAGTTGATTTTGGAACTTTGTTTGCAGTAACATACAAATTAAAACCCTTTCCTTACAGTGTCTCACAAGTTGAGTGCATTTTTAACATGATTTTTCTGTTTTCCATTTTCTTAAGAGAACTTTGTATTTTGCCAGTGGAAAGGCTGAAGATATATTGTGAAAAATTGAATGTTATTTACCATAACCAGCACAAATACAAGGTCACTTTCAAATAAATGTGTATTGTTGAGAATCACAAGGTATTTGATGTATCTTCTAAAAATGTAAAAAAGAAATTAAAATTGTTTCCCTTCTTGTCAAAAACCCATAATTCCTATCAAAGGCACAGTATTGTTCGTGACCTTTATCTGAAATACATCTGATACTGCTTACATATAGTATGTAATATTATTCTTGTTTCCTTGGTAATGATTTAGATATATTTTTCATGAGAGTATAAAATCCAAAGAAAGCTCTGCTGATTGATGCAGAATTAGAAAAGCTCTATTTAACACATTTGGCATATTTAAAACATTACAACATTCAGCAGAATTCTGCATAAAACATTCTGCAGAATTCAAAACATTCCCAAAAAAAATCAACATAGAAAATGTGGAAATAAAAGAAGCAGATTTGATTTAATCTGGGCCACGAGCTATCATATTGATAGCAGCACTAAAATGAATAACACTTTTATGACACTGAATAGGGTGACATCCGGACAAGCCGGTGAGCTTGACTGTTTGAAAACAGTAGTGCATGTAGCTGTGTATACACTACTATTCAAAAGGTTGGGATCACTTTTATTTAGCACAGGAACATTAAATTGATTAAAAGTGACAGTGAAGGCATTTATAATGTTACAGATGATTTATATTTCTAAACCAATGATGTTCTTTTAAACTTTATATTCATTAAAGAATCCTAAGAAAACGATCACAGTTTTAAAAAAAAGCAGCACAACTGTTTTCAACAAATAGGTGAGCATTAGAGGCTTCTTTCAAAAACATTAAAATCTTACAGACCCCAAACATTTGAATGGTAGTGTACATTATAAATACTTTGAGCTGTGAATAAAGCAGTAGGGGAGAGCGGGGGCGAAAGTACCATTTTTCAGAAAAACATCATTTTAAAAGATGATGGTTTAGACAGAGATATATTTTTGCTGTGGTCAGTCACTCACAAGTGTGGTCTATCAATACCAGGTGGAATTTTGTAAAAATGTAGAACAACTTCAGTATAATTTCACTTTGAACTTAAGACTGCTCATGTTACTTTCGACCCCATCAGTTGGGACGAAAGTAACACACAGGTGGGTCAAAAGTAACACAACAATATACAAGCTAGATTTTTTGTGTTACTCTTGTTTTTTTTTTTTTTGCCTAAATATACCTGAGTATGACCTTGTTAACATGTAACTGCAAACATATTTTGGCCTTTATCTTTGAAAAAAAATTTCATTTACATTTTTTTCATTTTAAATTTCAGTTTCATCAAATGTTTTAAAAGTAACCCAACAGTACAAACTTGAATTGTTTAGAATATTTTTTTTATTGTCAGTCGATTTTATAAAATGTTTTTTTTTTCAACATGAAAAATATGAAAATTAAATTAAATTAGCATAATATAAATTCTCAACATAATGTAACAATAGTCATGTTTCCATCCAGCTGTTTTTATGCATATATTTAAAATGTGCATAAAAAACATCTGGATAGAAACCCTGCAAATTCATAGGTGGAGGTGTTAAAGCTATAAGGTATGGCTAAAACCTAAATGTGACTAGGGTAAATGGAAACAGATTGAATGGGAAAAAAAATGGTGACACAGAAATCAGCTGATTTAAATGTGACTTAATCTTTAAAAGCCCCCTCAGAAACATCTGCCATATTCTGTTGGTATAATATGACATAAACATGTTTTAATAAATGCTGCAACACACAGAAAGTCACCACATTAGCAGAGGGACAAAAGAAACACTTGTTTTCCCTATAGCGGGACAAAAGTAACAAGTGTTACTTTCGTCCCGACAGGAACTCCTGACATTTAAACCCGATTTACTTTTATACTGAAAAACTCTGACCAAGCAAACTTCAGGATGTGTTACAGCACTAAATAACCTATAGATTGATCATTACTGTGTGACACATGAAACGAAAAACACAACTTGTAATTAAAAAAAATGACCGCTTCAGTAATTTACTTATCATACTCGAAAACTGCTTTCCGGACCTAACCGCGGGGAACGATGATGAAATCACGTGATATTTAGCAGCTCGGTCACTGGCTGCAATCCGAAAGTGCTGTCATAGCTTGAAATGCAAATGTAGTCAGGGCTCAGAGAAAATCGCTTTGTTACTTTCGTCCCGTGTTACTTTCGCCCCGGTTCTCCCCTATACATGTAACTACTGGGCAAAGGACAACGTTTCATTTGTCTGACCAGCCAATCAGATATCAGCTTGAGAGAGACACATTAAAATATCAAATGAGTATCAAATATGAAACACTTTCTTTTGAAGCAAACTCATTAAAATATTTGGAACAATGACAGAAGTTACTCTCAAGCACAAAATGTCACCTTTAAATCACCAAATTCTTAATAAAATCCTGTATTTTGGCCATGTGTTTGAGCATGTGTTTGTGGCAGTCCATCTGACGGATGAGAGGTTTGATTCAGAAACCCCAAAATAACCCTGTTTAATTCCAGAGGAGGCACTTTCATGTTTCTTGACAGCAATATTGCTGTACTTTTCTACTGCTTTAGAAATCTCCTGTACCTGGTTGTGAGTCAGTTTAAGCAAGAGCTCCCTCTAGTGCAGCGGATGATCACTCTCACAGCAGCCAGAATCACAGCACTGCAGATCAGAGAGACTCCACTGAGGAAGAATGTAGATGTGTAGGAGCCTGTCTGATCCACTAGCCAACCTGAGAGAGAGATTTCGTAAAACAGTCTGATTTAGTTAAATATACTGCAGGCACATACAAGTGAATAAGCAACTGTATGTGTAAACAGTAACTCCGTAACTACAGTAACTTGTGTGATTGATTCTTTGCATGTATTGGAAAATGAGAATCTGTCTGTGTGTTTGTGAGCGTGAAAGAAAGTAAATCTTCTCTGACCTCCAATAGGTGGGCTGATGAGGTAGGGGATGGCGTGGAGGAAGTAAACAACTCCCAGAGCTGAGGTCAGTTGGGTGGAGCTGACAGTATCAGAGGTCACCACAGGAATAAGTGCCACGTAAGCTCCGTCAAAGTAGCCGTAGATGAGAGAAAAGGGGACGAGGAGGGAAAAACCACTCAGCAGAGGCAGAAAGAGACAGCTCAGCCCTTCCGACCCCACAGCCAGCATGTAACTCACCACCCTATATGGCCTCAAACACCTGCACAGATACAGATCAAACCGCAGAGTTAGATGGGAATCGTTAAGAATGTAATAAACAGTTACATTAACAGTATTTTTAGTGCGTTCAAGGAATTAATAAAAAAAGAGAAGATATTTTGAACAATATGGTAAATACATTTTTAGAATAAGTGTTTGTTCCAGCTTCTAATGACATTTCAGTGATTTTGTCCTTTTTCAGTCTATTTAACCTTAAAGTTGGTATGAAACAGAAATTTGCAATCATCTTCTATTCCCTATTGTGATGTGTATCCAAGTGAAACGGCTTCTAATATGAGAAAAAAAATTAGGGACTTGATTTTGTCCATCGGGAATTGATTGGATAGATGGATTGCTGTCATTTGCTATTGCTGAGACATTGGTTGATAAAGTGAGATTAAGTACATAAAGTATATTTGTGCTATTTAATATATTTAAATATTGCAGGTTTGAGTAATATTCTGAGTTTGCATTTCACAGTTTTTATTCATTTTTAAGCAATACTGAATCTGTTTTTGTGTAAGTGAGATGAGTAAATGCATGTTTAAATTTAGTATGCACCGTGCACACAGTACCTCTGCACTTACTCACAATTTCTCTCAAAATGGGGACAAGAGAGGTGTCAGTCAATAAATGGGAAAACAAAGTAAATTGCGTTACTTATTTGACAAAGTAACTCAGGTATTTTGTTTGTGGTTTTGTTTTACATCTTCCCGTAGTGTAGATGTAACTCTCAAATATTGCGATTTATGTGAAAATAAGAAAATAAATTCACAACAAACTCTTACTTACTTTCTATCAGCAATCCATCCGAAAGTGATAGTTCCGACAATCCCTGACACTCCAAGTATGGACATGAGTAATGCTGCCTGTTGAGGGCTGACGCCTGCACTCAGTGAATATGGTACAAGATACACAAATGGCACACTGCAACCATATGCAAGGAACAGGAAGGACACCAACAGCAACAGGAAGTCTGGTATCAACAGGAAGGAATATTCTCTCAATACAGGTTTCCTTATGATAGACGATACATTTTCCTTGGACTCCTTCAGTATGTTTGTGTTTAACACCTTTGATTGTGCCAGAATGGTGTGGTTAGCGTTTGCTTCGGGTTTTGATTCTGGGATAGCTGGCAAGTCATCTGATTGTATTAAAGTTGGGACTGAGATGTTCCATTCATCTGCGCTTCCGTTCACAGTCTCTGAGTTTTCAGAGAGATCCTGTCTATGGTTTAGCTCCTCATCGGAGTGTGTATGCTTTGCATCAGAGGGCCATAAGTCTGCCTCCATCTGTTCTTTTCCATCCCATGGCATATTGTCAGCTTGTTCCCCCCCCCCTCTGTCTTTCATCATTTTATCTGTATCCATATGTTTTACCTCCACTGATCTCTGTTCCTGTGCACTCAATTCAACATCGAGGACTCCATCAAGTTTTAGATTCAGTAAATCAACCTTTTTGTTACCCTCCAAGTCCATCTCCTTCTGCCTCCCTCTTTGGCCTTCCAAAGGCCTCATAAGGGCTCCACAGACACACAGGTGAGACACCAAACCCCCCAGAATGAGCAGCGCACCCCTCCAGGAGAAGAACTCAATGAGGAGTTGCACAGCCGGTGCTAGTATGAAGGTTCCAATGCCGCTGCCTGACATGGCGATCCCGTAAGCCAGCGCTTTTCTCTCGCTGAAGTAAGAACCCACCATGGCGATTGCAGGAGTGTAGCTGAGAGCAAATCCTACACCTGTGCAGAAAAGCAGGAAGACTAGTATTCAAGACTACAGATATGCATGGCTAGTTTGTTGCAAATTAAAGGTACACTATGTACACTATGTTCAAAATTAACAAAATTGAAATAATGTGTCAATACATCATCAATCTTTTTCCAAACCGAGTTTTTGTCTTATTCTGATTTTCTATTATAAAAGAATATAAGCCTATTATAAGTGTTTATATTTTAGACATGACGGGATGGTTTTCACGGGAAATTGCGTTTATACATGTCGAGACCTGAGGGATTTGAAATGTTGTAAAGTGACGCAGAGTTGCCGTTTTTATTACTCAACGGGTGAGTAAAGTAGGCTATTTTATTGAACAGATAAACTGCCGTATTTAGATCTCTAACAAAGTTCATTAAATCATTAAAGAGTGAAGAGTCATTCCATTATGGTTGTTGTAGAGCTGTGCAGGAATTTATTTTCAAGGAAGTACTGTGTCTATTAATGGGTAAATCTACAGTAACGTCTTCAGCTAGTCAGCTTGAGATTTCCATCTAAACTGGTTAGATCTCTTAATGAATGAATGTTTTATGAGCAGTAGGATAACCATATTCATCCGGACGGTCAAGCAGAGCCAAAGCACAACCAAAACAGTGTTCTTTGGCAAATGCAAGTAGTTTTGATTTTTAACTGCTAGAGGGCCAAAAGTTACATAGTGTACACTGTACCCTTAAAGGATTAGTTCCCCTCAAAATGAAAATTTCCTGATTATTTACTCACCCCAATGCCATCCAAGATGTTCATGTCTTTCTTTCTTCAGTGGAAAAGAAATTAAGTTTTTTTGAGGAAAACATTTCAGGATATGAAATTTCACAATGGACTTCAAGCGCCACCAACATGTTGAAGTCCAAATCAATGCAGTTTCAAAGGGCTATGAAGTGTTTCAAACGGCTCTGCACGTTCGCAGCTGAGGAATAGGGTCTTATTTAGCGAAACGATCGGTCATTAAAAAAAAAAAAAAAAAAAAACATTTATATACTTTTTAACCACAATTGTTCGTCTTGTGCTGGTCGGCGACGCGCCAGGCATTACGTCATCACGTTGGAAACGTCACGAATAATTTTTTTTTTTAAAATAATAATAAATTAAAACAAAGATGTCAGACGATTTTGAAGTTGGAGGAGAAAACGGGAGAAAATCAGATGGAAATTTTAGCCTTTCCCTGCCTTTTTGAACCGGAGTACACAGACAAATAACTATAGAATGTTTCCATTGTGTGGAGAAAAATCCTGAAATGTTTTCCTCAAAAAACTTAATTTCTTTTCCACTGAAGAAAGAAAGACATGAACATCTTGGATGGCCTGGGGGTGAGTAAATTATCAGGAAATTTTCATTTTGAGGCGAACTAATCCTTTAAAGGGATACTTCACCCAAAATTTTAAATTTGCTGCTAATTTACTCACCCTCAGGCCATCCAAGATTTAAGTGACTTTTTTTCTTTAGTAGAACTGTAAAGAAAATTTTTAAGCTGAAACTGTGGTCCTCTGTGATTCATATGATATAAGTCAATGGGTGCAGTCACTTGGATATTAAAAAAACATATGCAGACTGTCATGATTCTGCCCTCGTGTCCTTGATTTTCTCTAGTCTTGAGGCAGGGTCATGACAGAATCATGTTTTGTGTGCAAGCACATGGTCTTGTGTTTTGAGCCATGTGCTTGTGTTGTCTCGTTACGTTACCCCGCCCCCTTATTATCCTTGTCTCGTCATTATTGTCTAGTCAGTTTCACCTGTCCTTGTCTAGTCAGCTTCACCTGTCTTTGTCATTAGTGTCTCCCTATTTAATCCCCTTGTGTTTGCTGTCCTGTGTCGGTACATTGTCAAACATTGTGAGTTATTCTCTGTGAGTATTTTGTCTGAAACCTGTTTATTGAGAATTGTGAGTTTGTTTCCTGTCAAGTCAGAGTCTTCGTTTGTCATCGTGTCTTAGTCTACCTCCAGTCCTGTTTTGCCCCATCGTGGGTTTTGTTTTCTGTTTTGTCATCATTAAACCCCTTTTGAGTTATTTGCTGTCTGCGCATGGGTTCGTTCCTCCATCCACATGACACAGACAAAACTAAATTAATACCCGCGGCTCCTGAGGATACATTGAGGTCTTTAGAAGCAAAATGATCACTCTATGCAAGAAACTGGACATTATTTACATGGCTTTGGCAAACGGTCCTGAGCGTGTTAGCGACAGTCTGGAGCGCAAGCTTTCTGTCGCATAAACATTTATATTTTTGCTTGATTCATTAAAATGTTTGCAATTCACAATAAACTTTATATGTCTTTGACTTTTCTTTGCATTAATAAATAAAAATGAATACATAATTATTTCTAAATGGAATCATAATTTAACAGAGCTCAGCTCACATGCGAGGTCGCTCCTACACATACGTCATTATGTGACAGAAAGTTTGCGCTCATTCTTGACCGTTTGCCAAGGCTGTGGATTAGAGGTAAAAAAAGTTTAAATAATGATCAGTTCTTGCAAAGACCAATCATTTTGCTTAAGACCTAAATTAATTGTCAGGAGTCGCGGGTATTCATTTTGATTGGTCGGCATATGTTTTTTTTTTTTTTTTTTTTTTTCAAAGTGACGGCACGGCACACATTGACTTCCATTATATGAATCACCAAGGACCAGTTTCAGCTAAAAATCTTCTTTACTGTTTTACTGAAGAAGGGCATCTTGGATGACCTGAGGGTGAGTAAATTAACAGCAATTTTCATTAACTTTAACATAATAGTTACAGGGGAAAATGATGATTACCAGTGCAGTTGAAATAGAAGTCTCTGTTTGAGTTTGAAATATTGAGAATGTTGTGTATGCTGCTGTGTGTGCATCTGTATCAAACCTGTAAGAACACCCAGTGTAAGATACAGGAACTCTACGCTAGTGGCCAGTGAGCTGAGCACCAGACCAGCAGAGGAAAGAAGTCCACCAATCATGACAGCTATACGAGAAGAGAGGCGGTTCCCAATATAACTTCCCAGTGGTGCTATAAAGAGAGAAAGAAAAAAAGAATGAGGTGGATTGCATGATAGTGGAAGTTCGTATTATTTTATGACTGATAAATGATTAATGGACAATATTAAAATTCAGTACATGTTGTACTCACATCTTGCATGTATAAATAAAAAAACGAAATACAAAAATGTATCATTTTAAAAGCTACAAGTGAATGTATGAAAAATTAAATGAATTTTGTTTACATTTAAGAGTGTTATTAAATTATTTAATTTCCACTTTAAATGAGAGTTAGATTACAGTAATTAATCTAAATGTAAAAAGAGGGGAAATGAGCATTCACAATTAAATATTGACTGATAAATTATCAACCTATACCAATAAATTAAAAAATAATATCAGCCCACCAACTGATATGGAACAGATAAATTGTTCATCATGCAGAAACATTTAACTCACTATTTAACTCATTATTTAAATCACTGAATCAACCCAATATATTAAATTACACAAGAATTTCTTTAATATAAAAATAATAAAGTGTCAGGTAAAAATAGCTCCTTAAGATCACCACTTTTACAGTTAGTATTAACATATGTGACTTTTTTTTTATTAAACCCTACCATTTGTGTGCATTTATATGGGTGTTTATCCTCACAATTAATGAATATTGTGTATATGTATGCATCACAATTGATTTGACAAAATAATCTAACTGCTTGTAAAGAATCAGTGGACAAATGGATACCAAAAGATACACCCAAAACCCCCACATAAATAATAAAATGTGTTTCTGTGAATATTCTTTCTCACTGGCAGCCAGATAAATCTGGTCTGTGGACTATGCACTGTAAAACTGTCAACAGATTTTTTTTTTTTTTAAACAAAGTTCTCCTAAAATCAATATAGTTGAGCTGCCACCTCTAAGTCACAGAGTTTTGCTATAGGGTGAACGCTGGAGGATTTTTTTTCTTCTGCCTTATATGGGTCTTACCACACAACATTGTAGTGCAGTCCAGCAGAGAATGTATCCATGCAGTTGCAGAATAATCTCTGGAAAAGTATGACTGGAATTCCACAAAAAAGATGGAAACACACCTGCAACCAGCATGAAAAGGAAGCAATATGATAAAGGTCATCTGTTGCTTACTGCAACATTCATTTTAGTCATTTTAGTACAACATTTGCTATCAACATCCAAAACTGGGTATTTTTTATAGTTATCCTGCTTATTGAATGATTCATCTTGGTTGAGTTTAAAGGCCATTTTAGCCTGGCTAACGTCAGACCCAAGGTCTGGGAACCACATGTTCATTTTCTCATATTTGAGGCGTGGTTTACGAATGCCCAGAGCCGTTTATTGGGTGCTAAGAATGTCTATCAAATGCGCCTGTACGTAGCTCATAGCCAATAGTTTCAATTATACCAGATGACGTATGTAGAGCGACAGAAATTAGACGAGGAAGAAGACGATGGGTCAGAGATTTATGTGTACACAATGGCGTGTATCTAACGGCCGTTTCACACCGCATGCGTGAGCTGCACGTATTTTTTCCGGCGTGCATGTTAATCAATGAGTGTATTCACACCGGGAGCAGGAGCAGCGCGTGAGCAGCAGTGAAGCGGGGGTTTCGGCGTCGAATCTGTTTTTGCTGCACTGCTCACACTCAATTAAAGTGAAAGCACACTTTTGATGGCCAAAAATAAATATGATTTCACACAAAAAGTGCCCAAAATGCACAGAATAAGCATGTCTAGTGAGTTTTAACAAGAACTTGAATAGGCAAATAAAAGAAAATAAAGACTCAAAAATATTTATAGAAGATTTAGGCTACCCGATAAAAACTTGTTTTTAATTATTCAGTTTGGGGGAAAGTTGTGTATTATATAAAAAAAACACACAGACAGCTACATAGGCTAGCACAACCCAAATCAAACCCGAGTGTGTGGTTTATTTGTGTGTTTTGTTTTTTATCCGCGGAGTTGCAGTCTTGTAAACATATCGAAAGCATGACTGAAACTAATAGTTTGGAGCAATTTTCTGGGTTGTTTTGTTGTTTAACATTTATATGCGAATGTTGTACATCACCCCATTACAAACTTTCAAGACTATCAATGTTACAAATGACCAACTTCTAAAAACAAATGTATAGTTGTCTTTGTAAAGAATTGCTTGCTTATATATGTAGCTTTGGAGCCGCTGCTGTGACACTGTACAAACGCTTCCAGTGTGAATACTCTCGCGCGTCTGCAGCTGCAGTGACGATGTAAGTTAGTTACGCTGACGCGCTGCTCAAGTGCCGCTCACGCTTGTGGTGTGAAACGGCCGTAAGGCTGCATCGAAAGGTAACTTCGCGTCTGCTGCCATGTTGGATCCATAGGTATAAACAAACTGCTTCGGTGTGTCGCATAGACGTCGTCATCGTCTTGCTGCTCCCTCCCCATTCTGTGATTGGTCCCCTAGATGAGGTGAAAATTTGGTCCATGGTATCCAGACTACCTAGCACTAGCAGCGTGAATAAAATCGCGCTGCGGCAAGGCAGTATGGGGAAACCCAGGCTAGCAGCATTTAGTTTAATTTAGTCTCACATTAAAGAGGATCTTTTATGCTTTATTACACTTTCAACTTCCTTTAATGTGTAATGTTGCTGTTTGAGCTTTAAAAATGTCTGCAAAGTTACAAAGCACAAAGTCCACTCCAGAGGGAGTTATCCTCTAAATCAGTAAGCACTGTTTCTGATCTCCCTGAAACGCTTCGACTGTAGTCTTGAGTTTTCTTCCAGGAACGTACATGTCACAATATTCCTTCCAAAAGGCGAGGCATGGTGGGCTTGCGTTAGTACTGTGTTGAAACTCGCTGTCATGGTGAGGGGCGTGGCATTTCTGAAACATGTTGGAAGCAGTTGACCAATCACAACACACTTGTCCAGCTGACCAATCAGAGCACATTACGCTTTTGGAAGGAGGGGCTTCATAGAGACGGAAACTAAAAGGAGCGTTACTGACAGACTGGGAAGAGAGGTGCTGCAACAATGTAAAATAATATGAATAATTAATAATTAAAAACCTATTCTAGTAGACTCCAAAAACAAAATCAAGACCTTAATATGGCCTCTTTAAACTGACAAAACAGAGGTGATGTGAGGGTATCACCTTGATTCCTGGTAAGCAAAGAAGTGCATATAAAAAAACGTGTCTGTGGGGAGTCATGCACTGACCTAGTGACCGCACGTGTGCAAACGGTGGTGAGGAAACATCCAGCCACGATCATCCAGCCCCATCCGCCATCCGGAGAGGCTGCTGAATGTGGTTTTTTTTCAGTCATCTCTAGTCCTCTCTTCATCCTCTCCCTCACTCTCTCACTCCTTTCAGCCTCTTGTTTCCTCTTCTGTCCAGTTTCAGCTGGTTTTGTTCTCTCCGGCTCTGTTTGGGACGTATTTACTTGCTGTTTTTCTCTCATTACTTCTGTTCCATCTCGCTTTCATCTATAAGGAGCTTTTAAATGCCATCAAGCAAAATCTGCAGCAGAAACAGAATTTTCTTCAATCCTAGCCGCCTTCTAAAATTGTATGTGCAATCTAAATCAGTATGTATGTTAAGAAACATCTGTTGTAATAAAAGTGAAATTGCTTCAAATGACATTTTCGTGTTTTGGATTAAATACTAAATGTCTCTGAGATAAAAAAAAAAAAATTGAGACAGAAAATTAACATTCTTGTCATCATTTACTCACCCTTGTGCGAACACACAACACAGGATTTACCACTCTATGACTGACTGGTTAGTGAGTGAGAGACCTGGCAAAGAAATAAGAGCAAAATTGTCCCAGGCTGAGTCTATCCTGCTACAAATACACTCTGAGATGTTTTCCATGATACAGACAGTGACCAAGTTACTACACATACTAGTCTGATTGAAAGGGAGGCGAGGAACAGTGTGTCTTTATCAATGCCAAGAAAGAGGGCCAAAAACTACTTCATGGGGCAATAGCAGTTACTTATTGCAAAAATTAGTAAACATGAAACAAAGCTTCATTCAACCAACCAACCAACTCCTGACAATAACCATTACCAGAGTTAGATTTTGTCCTGGACTCACCTCAATCTATGTCTGGTAAACCAGATCACAGTCAGACCTGATGTGATGACTTGAAGTCTTTAAATTAAAGACTTAACAGGCCGCCTCACTGTGTCTTCTGCATGAAAAAAGGTCACAATAACATTTAAAAAAAAAAAAAAAGTTGAAATCTTTTGTCTTTACTGTTCTTTTGTCCTTTCTGTTCATCAAAAAAAAAAAAAATGTATTACAGTTTTCACAAAAATATTAAGCAGCTGTTTTCATCTGACATTATACTATGCTATAGTTACAATTATCAATAAATAAAGGAATGTACTTTGCACTATCCTGTAAGTGAAACAAAATAATTAGCCATTGAAACGTTGTAACCAGTAGAGGTCAGAAGAGTGAACAAGTAAAAAACATAATTCTGGATCAATGTAGGTACAAGCTCAAATGATTATGAATTAGCGTATGAGAAGAGTAATTGTTACAATCACTTAGGGAGTTTTTCTGAACAACAAACAAAAAAACAAAATACATGACGAGCTTCCGAAGTGGTCAAAAAGAATCGCACTTACTCTGCAACATATTTCCCAGTGTACAGAATCTGGAACAGACGAGGAACAAAAATAACCACTGCTCTCCTCCAAAGTGTGGTACACATTGGCGCACATGGCTCTGCATCACTGCGCGGCGTGCGCGCGCGCTTGGACAGATCAACAGGGCGGAAACTACAGCCAGCCAACGTGAGGTGGAAGTAGAGGGGGGCCAGGGGGCTGCTTAGTCTACAGTTAACCGCTGTCCTGGTAGGATATTTGCCATGGTTCCCTCTCACCCCACCCGGTGTGCAAATTATTATTATACAATGACTCTCAGGGGGTTCACTGTTTTAATGGAATTTCAATAAGAAGTTTTCATGGAACAATCTAAGTTCGTCCCGAGCAAACCAAACTCTCTTTTGGTCAAACTCTTATGGAAGCTGGAATAACAATTTAAAGGATAATTTCGACTTTTTATCTCACAATTCTGACTTTTTATCTCACAAATTATAAAGTCAGAATTGCGAGCTATAAAGTCAATTGTGAGATATGAACTCGCAATTCTGGGTTATTAAGAGGGGGAAAAGACTGACTTTTTCCTCAGAATTGCGAGTTTATATCTCACAATTGTAGCCTGTCACGCAATTTTTTTTTTTTTTTTTAGAACTACACAAAAACGTTCATTGAGATATATTTAAAATATAAATCTATAATAGGCTACAGTTCTAAATAATAGTGTTTGTTTTGCCCGATGATGATCCTAAAAGAGTTCGAGTACGCTACTGTTACCTCATCAGCGAAAAGTGTGCGAAAGTATGTAGAGCCAGGTGAAAATACGCCCTGAATGAATTGTAAACTTACTTTTGTGGTTACTGAAGTGTTTGAAAACCCAAGAGAAACATATATTTATATGTAAAAAAAAAAAAAAAAAGAGAAGTGTATTTCTAAGACCCCGCCCTCACCGTTTGTTTTGAGTTCCTGGTTCAATCCCAAGCTTAACTGAGGGGATCGGACAGGAGATAACAGAACAGCGATTTGCCCATGCATATTACCCATTACCCCAGGGGGTAAAGGTGATCACTCATTTGCTTTTGAAAAACATTTATCTGGGAAGTTTGGGAGGGGGTAGTGAATGGTTTAATTGTTCTTTTTGTCCTCGTTCCTTCTCTCGGCTTCAGTTTAGTGTAGGCGTACTTTATAAGTAATTAAAATGTATACGATCAAGTGTTAAGACAAAATAAAAGAAGCAAAGGCGGAGAGATTTTTTGAGATTTTCACTCAGAGATGACTTTCACAAACCTGTGCATTTGTTAAAGTGTAAGCATTTAAAATGGGTGACTGAATAATTGAAAATAACATAAAAGTAGCCATTTCCAGGTGGGTTAATTCACCCAAAAATAAAAATTCTGTCATCGTTTACTCACTCTCAAATTGTTACAAACCTGTATAAATGTCTTTGTTCTGCTGTAGCCTACACAAGGGAAAATATTTTTTGTAATATTTTTAGTTTGTAACCAAGCAGATCTCAGGCCCCATTGACCATAGTATATTCTCCCTACTATGGTAGTCAATGGGGCCTGGGATATATATATATATATATTTTTTTTTTTAAATATCATCCTTTTTGTGTACAGCAGAACAAAGACATTTATACATGAGGGTGTATATAACTTGGTTGAATAAATTATGATAGAATGTTCATTTTTGGGGGAACTATCCCTTTAAGAGACATTAAGCAATTCATACTGAATAAAATCCACAAAATCAATTTTTTTTGTTTTCAAACTTTTATTATTTAAAAAAAATGTCCTTTCTTGAGTCTATGCATAATAGCATCAATCACACAGATATCAAGTCTCTCATATCTTCTTAATAAAGCCACACATTTCAACAGGCTTTAAAGACATTGAGAGGTGGAAAACAAAGATAAGATTATTTACATGTTTGTACAATCTGATCCAACAGCACAAAGTATCCATTAGAGTAGCATCAAACAAGCAACGCAAAGGATCATGTGTTTAAAATTGTCAGTAGGATTCAAAAGAAAACACACAGACAGAAAAATCTTGAAGAGAAAAGAACAAAGTTGCAAATACCCTTTTCACTCTGCATAACAGCATTACTGCCAACAGTGGCAAACAGGACATGAACAGCTAGTTTCTCAGAGACAGATGACTCCATCAACCAAGCTGCTTTCAGCAAAACAACATTCAGAGCAACTGACTACTGCACAGCAAGAGGAGTGAAGGTCACCTTTCAGAGGAAAAGAACACTAAGATGACCTCTCAACTACTTTCTGCGATACAGATTAATACACATACAGTCTGTGGTGTTGCTTCTTCAATATATAAAACTTTTGGCAGCTAGTTTTGCTGCTTACTGGTATAACAAGTTACTTCAAACCATACCAATCTCTGAGGGCCTCACCCGTGTTTGCAAAACGAAGCTGTATTTTTGATCTAATACACTATAAATGACAGCTTTGGTTTTTAGGTATATCTTAGAAATATACAGTGCAATTACACAGGCTTGAACACTTTGAAGCATGTTCACACTTGTATCTTACTAGGATTGGGTGGCAAGGACAATTTGTTAGCAATACCATAAAATGTACAATCTTCATGAATGTTAATCATCCATATGGCATACTACTGCTGTCATATAGTGTTTGGTAAACAAACAAGCAAACAGAGCATCCAAATCAAGAATGAAAATAATTTAATGCCAAATATACAAGGCCAACCAAAGCAATAATTAAATATTATAAAGCAATACAACATTTTTAACTAGGCAATTATAACCCCAAAAAAGCTCACATAAAAGGTGGAAAAAAAAACCCCACCTAGATAGGTATTTTCTGAAAAAGAAAATATTGCAGTTGACATGAGGTCCCAAAAATCGAATTCTGATTTTTCTTAGAAATCAGTAAAAAGAAAAGCCACAAGTTAAAAGAGAGCGATCACATAGAAGGCATGAGAGACAGCAAGGAGGACTGAAGAACAGAATATAACTAGTAAGGGAGTAGTGTTTTTATTTTTGATTACATATTGAATTTCATCTTAACATTATAATGCTGTGCATGGCCTGGTAAAACAGGAATGCTTGTATTGGCAGGCTGTCTAGTTTGACTCCTCCCCTTTTCAGTTTGGCACTACAATGGCAACACAATGGGTGAGTCTTTGAACTGTCTAAACATGTTTGATATTTCAATGGTGCAGAAAGGGGTGTTGTGGGTAACTGCTGTCAAACTGACTTAATCCGTCTGTTTTGTCATCTCTCTGCTACTTTGAAGACTGTTAGTGCTGTTTTTTAAACTATAGATGTGAGGAAGGCAACCAAAGAGGAAAGTATATGCATATGACTGTGCATTCTGACAAAGATGAATTAAGTAGTTTTGGTTTGGATACGAAAAAGAATAGGAAAGGCAGCATGGAAAAAAAATAGGCAAAGCTGGGCAAAGAGGACAAAAAATGTGGGATGTTAAAATTGAAGTGAAGTGTGAAATTGGCCACTTGGTCCCACAGAATTCCCTCTCAGAACTAAAAGTGAGACACCCTGAGTTTTCTGTGAATACTTATAAATTAAAGCCTTCATGTGAATCAGCGCTAATATATATATATATATATATTTAAAAAGTGAACAGAGAACTGATTCTAAACTGAACTGTTTAAAATGACTGTTTTGCATAAACGCATGGAAAACTGTTAACTGTAGCAAAGTGGAAGAGTGAAAGGAGATGCAACCGGAAAAGGCTGCTCTAAGCTGTACAGAGAACAGTGTTAACGTCTTTTCTTTACTTAGAGGATCTGTATCCCAAACAGCCGGGACACATTCCTGACACAGCACCTGATGCTTAAATCTGAATTAAAATAGTGTGTTAAACATCATTTGGGTCTGCTGGTGGCTGGTCAAGAACAGCAAAACTTTAAACAGCAGGTTTTGGCCATCAGTAAACTCTCCCTGTTCACTACACAACGATATTTACAAACAGTACAAAATGAGAACAACAAAAGGAAAACAAATTAACAATTAGATTCCGGTAGTCGTCAGTCTGAGGGAGACTAAGTTACTCATAAAAATATTCTTTAAAATCTTATTTTAAGGGTTATTTACAGGTTAGTTACTATAATGGCTTCTTTCAAATTTTCCAATGTTCTAGTGTTCCTGTTGGAGCTTCTTTGTTGAAGTCTTAAAGCAGCTTCTGGATGATCAGAGACGAGGATTCCATTCCTTTATGCGTCTTCAGAAGACTTCAGCAGTTCTAGAAAAGCACCGACGGCTCCAAAGTATCCCTGAAACGCACATACACACATATGAGTGTGCATATAAACTAACAATATATGAAAATAATTTCATTGAACTACTACCATAAAATATGTGAATCTGAGAGACCTTCGCTGTTATACACTACCGTTGGAAAATGGATTCATTTGTTTAAAAGTGACAGTAAAGACTTCTTACTAAATATTTATATTTGAAATAAATGTTATTTTGGCTTTTCTATTCATCAAAGAAATCAAAGAAAAAAAAAAGGATCAGTTTCCACACAAAATTATGAAACTGTTTTCAACATTGATAATAATAAGAATTGTTTCTTGAGCACCAAATCAACATATTAGAGTAATGGCTTCTATAAAAGTTGCCAGCAAAAGAATAAGTTACATTTTAAAATGTATTAAAATATAAACAAATAAAAACCTATTTAAAACGATTTCTCACAGTATTATGGTTTTACTGTATTTCTGATCAAATAAATGCAGACTTTATGAGCATAAGAGATTTCTTTTAAAAACATTACAATCATCTTACTGACCCTAAACATTTCAACTTAAATGTATTTCCCGAATTTGAGAAAATATAAGCAATAAAATAAAAACAATTGATTAAATCTTAATGAAGACAAAATTACCTCATGTTCCAGGAAAAGGGCCCTCAGCTGGCCCTTAGACCAGAAGTCCATAGCATAGGCAAGCAGCTTTGTTGACACTGTGTTTATACGCAGAAAGTTCCCCACAAAAACAACCCGTTCCATTTTCTACAGGACAAAACACAATCACATCACTTAGTTATGAGCATAGAATCTGTGGATGTTTTTCACATTTTTTCCATTTTGGAAGAAAATCTACAGAATTTCGTGAAACAGATTTAATCATGGTAAAATTAGTTCAACTGAGTGCCAAGTACTACATTCTTTCTGCGTGGGCCTGTTTATAACTCGCACCGACTGAATTACCAGCAGGTTGATTCCGGCAGCATTTCTTCTTCACCAGCAGAGGGAGTCCTGACACAAGCAATTCCTTTTATGGACTTTTAATAGTAGGTGCTTAAATCTCTGTTTTTGACTAATTCAAATTTCTTTTCATTGATACTAGCTAATGTGATAAAAGTCCTGTATTCTCCAGGTATTGTTGGGAGTTACTGCTCTGATGGTGTTCTGTACACCCTGAAAGCCCTGTACAATGCTGCTTGATCACCAGGCTACAAGGCAACACTGTAGAGAAGCCCAGAGTGGCCAGACAGACGCTCACAGCTGCTGCTGACAGCGTGCAGACACACACACACACACACACACACCTCGTTGACTGCACACATGCGTGCGATGGAGCCAATGTTGTTGGTTATAGTGACGAGTGTTGCTCGGGCCAAATCCTCTTTAGAAATACTGTCCCTCTTCTCTTTGCTCATCATGTGACCAAAACTATAACAAAAACACAAGCACATATTTATGTACCTAACAGACACTCACAGAAAGCACTGCAACCAAGTCTGTATAGATTTTGGAGTTTATTGCTGAGGTAATAAACAATTATATATACTATATATAATTAAAATAATATATTATTAAATATAATTAAAAATATATAATGAACACATGCATACACACAAAGAACTTTATTTTATATATACACATTACAGTTTAAAATAGGTCAGTAAGATTTTTTATGTCTCTTTCTTAAAGTCTCTTATGTAATTCAAGGCATTTATTTAATTCAAAATACTGTAAAAACAGTATTATTGTGAAATAGTATTAAAATTTAAAATAACTGTTTTCTATTTGAATATATTTTAAAATGTAACTTATTCCTGTGATGGCGAAGCTGAATATTCAGCAGTTATTACTCTTCAGTCTTCAGTGTCACATTATCCTTCAGACATCATTGCTTAATATTTTTGTGGAACCCTTAACACAATTTTTTCCCCCCATCAGAATTATTTGAGTTTAGAAAGTAAAAAAAAAAAAAACTGCATTTATTTGAAATCTTTTGTAATATAATAAATGTCTTTACTGTTACTTTTGAGCAATGTAATGCATCCTTGCTAAATAAAAGCATTAAATTATTTGTTTAAAATAATAATTTTACTGATGGCAAATTTTTGAAAAGTAGTGTATATTAAAATAACCAAGGAATGGGGTCTCATACTGTACATTTGTGTCACATGAAACAGGCAGGCCTACATGCAAGACCACATAGCATCACATTTCACTTGTGGACTTTTGTCACCTGACACCACACACACAAACACAGAGTGTCTTCTGTACCTTGAAGCCACCGCAGACCCCTGTAGGCCGAAGCGCTGGTAGTCCCCTCCATAGATGTCCTTCACCAGTTTGTCCACGTTGGTGCTGTCCCCTTTGCTGGCCATTTCAAGGGCCTCTTCAAATGTCTCACAACCCGTCAACAGGCAACACAACCCCAAAAACGTCCCTCCTCCAAGACTACAGGAGAAAAAGAGTGAGAAAGGAACATTGAGGGTCAAAACATGGTTACCGGCTGCATCTGAAGAGCACACATGTGCAGTCACACACGCAGACATTTTTGACCTTTAAACTCAATTTAAACTATGTGCCTATGGCCAAGGTCTCAAACATTCCAGATTACAGCATGTGGTCATTGCAACACAAAGCAAGTTCGCATATTATATTATAAATGTTAAAAGTTTGGAATAATTAAGATTTTTTTTTATGTTTTTGAAAAAAGTCTCTCATGTTCACCATGGCTACATTTGATTAAAAACACAGTAAAACAGTAATGTAGTAAATAAAATGTTATTTATTCCTATGATGGCAAAGCTGAATTTATAGCATCATTACTCCAGTCTTCAGAAATTATCAATGTTGAAAAAGGTTGTGTTGCTTAATTTGTGGAAACTGATCTACTTTCATTCAAAGGTTTGGTTTAAAAAAAAAAAAAAAAAAATATTTGTATGCAGCAAGGATGCATTAGATTGATCAAAAGACTCTGAAGACTAAAGCAATGGCTACTCAAAATGAATAATTTACATTTTAAAATAAAATAAAATGTCACAATATTACTGTTTTGTTGATCAAATACATGCAGCCTTAGTGAGCATAAGAGACTTTTTCAAAATCATTAAAAAAAAATCTTGATTCCAAACATTTGACCTGTAGTGTAAATGAATGTGCTAAATGTTCAGAATTACTAAACGGGTTTTTTAGTAAAAGTGACAGGGAAATACACAGGGATTTGTAAAATGTTGAAGAGTGTAAGTAATAGCTCCTGATCCTCCAGCAAGTGTGACAGATTTGCACAAGAGCTTTTACTTCTGCTGACAAATCTCCTACCTCCTGTCAGTCACTGCTGAAAGGCTGTTCCATTCTGGTACAACCACGTTTAAAATGAACTTGACTACCTACTCTGTTGTCAATCACAGATTTGTTATCTTCTAAAGAGGACTCATGCCTCATGTTTCAAAGGGAAAAATTAACACAGCAGGTGCTCTTATGCTTCTAACAGTCTTTGATTCTGTGTCCATGAGAGATGAGGAAACAATCAGGTTTACGTGTTTAAAAAATAGCCAATGGTAAACTCATATTTCAAGCTGGAGAAAAAAGCTCCATAGCATGGATGCATCTCAGCAAAAGTTGCCCACAGAAAAGACAGCATAAGCAAAGAGTGTTTTTTAGAGAATATCTAATAAATTACAAACAGTAATATAGTGGTTTTATTATTATGATTGTTAGCTTGTTATTTGGTACTACAAGCTTTTTCAGCCATTTTCAACAATTACTCTAACAAGTAAAACATCCCTGTGTGAATTTCTGACAAATTGGAAAAAAACATAAAATACTAGTTTTATCACATTGTTATTGAGAGTGTGTAACACATTTGAAGGGGTTTCTGCTGCATGGTGCACGTTGCTCAGCTGTGCTGACCTGGTGCCTGTCACGCGTTTGTAGTTGTCCTTGGAGTACACTGCCAGAATACTGACGCCCGAGCCAATGTTGACCAGCAACATGGGAAAAAGGTTGTCAAGACAACAGGGTCTCTTGATGCAGTTCTGTGTGTCGGAGGGGTTTTCAAAGTAATAGCATTCAGGATGACCGTTAAAACCGACCGAGTCTATGTACAGCAGCCCCTGGATCAGACAGTCCAGCTCATCCAACTTCAGCAGCTCTAGGTCGGCCATCTACAAAGAAAAAAAATAATAATTTATTGCTACTCACTGCTCTGCATGCAATAGACGTATCCCTTAAATGTAATTCTTGATGATACATTGTTTATTAATTAAAAAACATCAGGCTTCGACTTTCCATTGAGCAGTTTGGACCAAAATAAGATGCTTAATGTGTTTATAGGTCAGCTTGAAAGTAACACACCCTAAAGTGACATTAAAAACTAGTTACAAAAGATTTCTATAGAAATAAAGAAAGGTTATTTCAAATTGTAATAATATTTCTATTTATCACTGTTTTTACTGTATTTTTGATTAAATAACTGCAGTTTTGTTCAGCATAGGATATTTTCAAATCATACAGTACTGGTCAAAAGTTGAATGTTTTTGAAAGAAGTCTCTTATGCTCATTAAGTCTGCATTTATACGTTCCAAAATACAGAAGAAAAAAAACAGTAATATTGTGAAATATTATTACAATTTAAAATAACCGTTTTCCATTTTTATATACATTAAGATTCCTGTAACGGTAAAGCTAATACTTCTTTCAGGATTTTTGATGAATAGTTTTCTTTTAAAAAACAGCATTTATTTAAAAGCATTTATTGAAATCTTTTGTAACAAAATACACTACCGTTCAATATTTTTCTTTCTTTTTTTAAAAGAAATTAATATTTTATTCAGCAAGGATGTGTTAAGTTCATAAAAAAGTGATAGTAAAGATTAATATTCTTAGAAAAGATTTCTATTTTGAAATCCATTTCTTACCCCATAGTTGAATTATTATGTTTTATTTTGAATATAAATTTAAATATATTTAAAATATTAAATATAAACAAAATTTTGTGTCTGATGGGGTAAAAAAAATGTTAGGACCCAGGAGTTAGGAAATTTTGCTTGGTTTCTATTTTCTTTGGCATGATGCAGTAACCCGACTGTGAAATCTCATTGGTCCAAAATCCTACCCCACATAGCTGTATATTAAACATTTGATTTTATTGTCAAAACCGTTTGAAAGCCCAACTGCGGCCATCTCCTTACCGTTCTGAAGTCATTCTCAAACTTGTACGCCCCGCCTCCGGTGGCGCACAGTGTGGTATGCAGGCTGGAGAAGTGCTTATCTCTGCCCATCTGTATGAATGTATGCATGGCGGCGGTGGGGAAGCGGATGAAATGCAGGTTCCCTGTGCGACCGCAGATGGTCAGGTTGCGCAGCTCCAGGTGCACATCACGGATGCCGGTTTTGCCGTAGGCTGTGTTGGAGGTGAGGTACCTGCGTATGCTCTTCAGATTCTCCACCTCCTCTTGCTCCTCCTCTGCGGTGATGTCTTTTGGCTCGAAGTACACAAGTTTTACTAAAGTACCACCAATATCCATCCCAAACCACGGAAAGGCTAGAAAGAGACAATGAGACTGATTAATGTCATTGTGTAAATTGTGTTCCAAAGATTAAGAAAGTGGACAAACTGGATTGGCAACTAAAAAACAACAACAACTCCACAACATAATAAAGGTCAGTTAAAACATTTTAAGAACAATTTTACCATATTTTTTTTAGAAAAATTAATACTTTTATTCATCAAGAACGCAGTAGATTGGAAAAAGTGACCGTAAAAACATTACTAATGTTACAAAAGATTTCTTTCAAATAAATGCCGTTTTGTTTTGAACTTTCAATTCATGATGGCTTCCACAAAAACAGTAAGCAGTTCAACTGCTCAAACACAACAAAATCAGCATATTAGAATGATTTCTAAAATTATCATGTGACACTGAAGACCAGAGTAATGAAGCTGCAAATTTAGCTTTGCCATCAGGAATAAATTACATTTATTTTCATTATATAAATGATAAAAAAAACATTAAAAATATTTCACAATATTACTGCTTTAATGTATTTTGTGATCAAATATATGCAGCCTTAGAGAACATGAGAGACGTCTTTCAAAAAAACAAGCAAACTTTTGAATGCAAGTAAACTAATTCAAACATAACTAGCTGGCCAACTAAAGAGAGGCAGTGATGAGCAACACTGCAGCAGCTAATGAGGAGTCAAGGCAGTTACCATGGCAACAGCCATGAGGCTGCAAATGGCTGTTCTAGGATGCTTAGAAGCAGAACCAGCACAAACGTTCACAGATTCCCACGTCTGTTTCTATCATTTCAAAATAAATTAAAAGATCAGCAGACAGAAATCTCAAACCCGACCTGAATTACCAATCAGTGTCTAACAAGCAGAGAGATCAAAGTCTTATCCTATCAGATAATAGGTACATTGTTATTGTTACCGTAATGACTCTTACATCAGACGTTCACTGGGCTGAACCCAGAGAAGTCAGGAAAAATTTGGGCAGGTCAGGGACACACAGATCTGAACCTGAATATCCTGGTACATGCAGACCAATCTGTGCTCCTCAGATCTGATTTGTTCTATCAGATTTATGACTGACCTGTCACATTGTAAGCTGGTGTTGCACAGGTGACCTGTCTTTGACCAGAATGCTCTCTGCTACAACATCATCTCAAATGACCCTCACGCTTCCTTTCCCCCCCTAATATAGATGTGGTGGGCATATGCTGGGAGGTTTATTTTGGACATCACTCTTATTTCAAAGCATGCAAATCAAGTGGACGAGAGCCCAACTCAATAAATATCCACATGCTTTGCTTTCATAGTTTTAAAAACACAGTTGTACAAAGGAAAATGCATGCTAAATCACGCTTAACCGATTTGGATTATTGCGCTTATGAAATCGCAAAGGCTGCGATTGTTTTTTATGCGCAGCTTGTCAGTGAATGTTGCTCCATCTGAAAGCACTGCGAGTTTGAGTCGCTTATAACGTGCATTTAAAAAGCAACACGCGTCAAACAGCTTTCCAAACATGAGAAGCATTTATGAACCTCTTGTCCAACAAAAGACAACATTTAATAAATTAATCAAAGCATTTCAATCTTCTGTTTATCCAGCTACAGTGATAGTATAATGCTCATAGGGATTTCCTGGAATGACGTGTGTTGTCTACTGCGTGAGAGCGCCCTCTGGCTTTCAGATGGAGCAGCATTTACTACCGATCAGCCGTGCTGCACTGACAAGCTGTGCATAAAATAATCGCAGCCTTTGCCAAATCGAGTGCGGTTTCATTTCGATTAATCATGCAGGCAGCCCTACTAGCCAGGAATGAACAATGTTGCTTCTTCGTTGAACTGAATGATCTGAGCCAGAAGCAGCAGGTGAACGGGGTGTGACAGTCGTCTGACATAATGACATCAAACAACTCATGTGAGTGAGAGGTCTGTTTACATCCCCCAGTCAGCAGAGGCATGGAAAGGGAGAGAGACTAAGAGAGAGAGAGAAAAATTGGCAGGCAAGTGTGTCCATGTGAGAAGCTGGGAAAGGCGGAAAAGTGACGAGAGAGAGAGAGAGAGAGAGAGAGAGAGAGAGAGAGAGAGAGAGAGAGAGAGAGAGAGAGAGAGAGAGAGAGAGAGAGAGAGAGAGAGAGAGAGAGAGAGAGAGAGAGAGAGAGAGAGAGAGAGAGAGAGAGAGAGAGAGAGAATGTGACCGAGTGAAGGAGAGGGACTGACATGGAATGTGTCCATGTGAAAGAGGACCAAGTGAAATACTTCAGAATACTGTTTATCTGGTAAGAACACTTTTTAACACCATTAACATCGGTTGAGTATAAATAAAAGAACAATAAAAAAACAACTGATACAACAAAGGTGTTACCGCACACACACAAATGTTGCCTGGAGCTGAGGAATGTAGACAAGCTGGCCTGGCATGCAGTCTGACACAACTAAGACTTAGACTCGCTGAACTGCATAAGCATTGTAAAAAGCAGTCACTTTTCTGCTGCTGTTACCTTTGGCAACACAAACTAAACCTGACATCAATTCACTTGTTTTTTCTATTACATTTTTTGCACTTCAGTAAATAGCAAAGAAAAAAATCTAATCCATTTAGTGTTGCAATCACCAGAATATGCTGCAAGTATAACTTTTCTAAAACTGTCAGAACAATTCCAAGGAAGCAAGATATTTTACATTACACAAGGATGAGGTGATGTCTTACCTGGCTTCTTTGAACACTTTAACTTCATCCTGCTTGTAGCCCTAATACATTCAAGTGCAAACACAAAAGCCTAACCAGTAGGAAAGTCCACAAACAGACAGAAATTAGAAGTTCATTTTGGCTTGTAATGGCATTATAACTACGCTCTCAAAGTTGAATTCTTGGCGTCGTTTAGGAAAAGTGAATAAATACAGAGAAATTCTCAATACTGAAGAATAAGGGCGTTTCTGTCTGTCCCTTTAACGCGGCCACGCGAAGACAAAGGTCAAGCGCTGATTGGTCGAAGCGCGTCGAGCCTTTACATCAGGAGCGATTTCAACACACCTCCTGACTTCACACCGGCCAATCAGAGAGCGAGAAGAACAGTCTCAAAGGTTTCATCAAAACAAAAGACACTCTTCGCTGTACAGGTCAGACACAGCACAGAAATAATGACAGTTTGTTCAAAGGTTGGGAGCTGAGAATCGTTTTTTTTTTAAATATATATATATCGCAACCGAATGATTTTCATGCACGTTCGAGAAGCGTTAAATAACTCGAACGTCATCCTTTAGCTGAGATGAACTGAACGTATTAAAATAATCTGACAGTGATTCTTGCCTTAACGTTACTTATTACTATTTTGCAAGTAACATCAAATGAAAATAAACCCATTAAAGTATTTTAACAATTGGCAATTCCTGTAGTAGGCTACTACTTTTTATTGCTACTGAATCCACAACGAGACCAGTGACTTCATTCGGTTCTTTTTATTGAAACAAAACACTTAAGAATCAGTCAGAACGGTTTCTGATTTATTATCTGACTTATTTAATGAACCGAAAATTATTACATTCCCATTGCCCCACTCCAAATGACCCAACTACTGTTACTGTGTTATACTTAAAAGTCTGTCAACATACATAAACGGTTTAGACCTACATTAGTGATGTTTGTCTCGAGACCGGTCTTGGTCTTGTGTTGTCTTGGTCTCGATACCCTCTGGTCTTGGTAGTGTCTCGACTACAAAGTAACGTTATATATTACAATTTGGCAACGTACTTTTGAACGAAGTAAATTAAATAAGAATTGCAGCCTTATTTAATCCAGTCCCTCAAATGTAACGTAGCCTACTACATAAAGGAATCGATACATTTCTTAAGATTTCCATTTTGGACCCTTATTCAGTTGAGTTACCTGAGGTAAAATTGTGAGGGTTAACATAAGTCGATGACATCTGTAAATCTAAATGACAGTAACTGTCTCAAAAATAGGGCAAAGTATATATTGTGCCATTACACTGGCAACATTTCAATTTAATTGCGACGAATACCATTGCTCTCGCAATGTGTTAAATATTGACTCGAACACGTCCTTACCAAGAGGTCTGTGTGTGTCTTTAGGGCATCACTTATCAGACATTGAGGAAATCATGTAAGTTACAGATATTATCTAAAAAACACTGAAGGTGTCTGTAACTATAAACTTACGCGGTCTGTTTTTCTTTGCCGACTCCAATCGCCTCCGCAGCCGACACCTTTTCGCCGGAGAGCCGTTGGTTTGAGGGTCGTGGTGAAGATGGTGGTAATTATCGTCCGTCGGACTGTACGGGCTACAGCTCCCGTTGCTCAGCTGTCGCCGGATTGGCTTGTTGTGCATGTTTGTGTAGCAAGGACCAGAACCTTTCTGATCCAACGTTGATTTGGCCTTATCCATATTTCAATGCACAGCAAATGTCAACAGCGTACGACTCTTGTACGCCTCAAAACACACACAGATATACGTGCTGATGAATGTGCCGCGCTCTCGAGATAATGACCTAACGTACACCCAATGCACGGATTTAATCTAAAAAATGACTATTACAACAACTTCAGCAATAATAAAATCGCGTATTTACAAGTGTCGAATATAAAACGATAAGAGCAATAAACCAACACGCGCTGCGGTCGAGGTCATTGTCGGTCATATTTCCATAGTCCTGGCGCTGCGGCAGATACCCCGTCAAACAACCGGCTCATGACGTCACCAGGAATGGCTCGAGACAGTTAACGGCTCAGTGCAAGCAGAGCATTGCGCCATGCGAGCACACACACACACACACACACACACAATCATCTTCTAATATTATCGCAAGCAAAAGATCAAAGTACAAAACGCTCTTTCCTCACAAGTCAACTGACAAGGTCTTTAAATACCTCCTTTTCTGCGGTATTATAAAAGTGTACCTGCGTCACTTCTGTTGTGTTGATCACGCCTATCTATCTATCTATCTATCTATCTATCTATCTATCTATCTATCTATCTATCTATCTATCTATCTATCTATCTATCTATCTATCTGAGTTGAAAGCGATTTCTCTCACTCTGCGTGTGGGGTGAATGAGGTCGAACGGGAGTTTCAGTTTGGTGGTTCTCGGGTGTCTAGCAAGTATCGTGGAGGTAAGAAAGGACATTGGGAAGACAGAGAAGAGGGAGGATTCAAATAATTGGATTTTTAACCAAATTAACACGTGCAGGCTAATTTTTCCAGTCGTTTAAAATAAACTCGGCTAGTTTTAAATCTCTTATCTGTTTTCTTGCTGAAGTTAACCAAATACAGACATATGTGGTTGACTAGATTATGCTTTTGAAGTTTAAACAAATGAATTACCTTCTGCTAAATTCAGTATTTTATTTTAGTACCCACAGAAAGACAAATTTACACATCAATCAACAGTTTCTGACTGATAGAAAAAATACGTTTCACACCATTATCTACTTATAATAATAAATGCATTTCATTTTCCTTTGTGATTGCTCAATTGGCTCGGCCACCTAATGGAGAGAAGAGTAAAATACAGTTGACTGAGTGGCAGAGAGCAGTAAATACCATAATAACCAGAGATAAAATAAGTACATTTTAAGTCTCCACACACCACAGTGTTAACTGACTTTGGTCAGTTCAGTTAGCTTTAGAACAGCGGACCAATTGCACCATCAAATGTCATTTCACTCACTGTGAACATTTTCTGGAAAGTACAGTGCGTGGTACTTTTTACATGCCAAAATAGCTACAGGACTGAGAGGGGCCAAATCATTTAGGAAACTGCTGTTAATAAGACACCAGTGACCTCAGTAACTACTTGGAACGATACTAAAGAACTGGACATCTTTGACAAAATGTAAGGAGGACAACTGAATAATTCTATAAGGCAACACAAACATCAATGTTTTCTTGGATCCAAACAAAAGAATTCAGAAATGGAAAAAACACCAAACATGTTCAAAAATGTAATTGATTAAACATTTGATCTAAACTTATAGACTTTAAAACGGTAAAATGGATACTATTATATCACAAACATAAAAATACAAGTGGATTCTTATGATTTTTTTTGTGTGTGAAATTTGTGATACGCTTGTCTTGTCTGGCTGCTGAGACATCCGTAAGTCTTCTTGGAATGAATGTGTGTCTCTTAAAAACCAATAGTCAATTTTAAACCCCAGTGTTTTATGCAAACATTTATTTTCTGTGCTAGATTTACATTGCCTGATTATTTGTTTCAGCATTATTTTGTTATCCACCTTATTTTAAAATGAGGTAGACACAACGCTGTTGTTTTCGACGCGACTGTTTACCAAGGTATTTCATTGCTGTCCCATGCATAGGCTTTCCCTGTTTTGTCTATGTTTAGATTGTCTATTATGTTCATAAGGCATTGGACAGAGTATTCTGTGCTGAACAGCTTGTCCTTAGGTACGTTTCGATGGTAGGGCCGAGACAAATCCGTATTCACGGTTCCAGGATGCAGGGATACACACACAATTTTAGATCGCCCTCGACCCAGCTCAATGGACAGGTTTCTGGTGGCCATGTTTAAGGCAGCTTTAGACATCCTATAGCTGTACCAGCCTCCAAGATCTGTAGACAGAAATATAAACCAACAGAGTGGTAAGCTTCAGGCTGTTAAGACAGAAATAGTCCAGATGTGGCTGTAAACAACTCTAGTTAATTTAATCTGAAGTCACTTCTAGCATGTAGCTATAAATTATAATTATATGTTAGTAGGAGTAAATAATTTGGGTCCTGCTCTAAAATGCAACATCATATTCAAGTTCTGTTTTATTTTGAGAAACAGACTTAAATGGGGATAGAAAACATTGTTGAAAATGTGTGCATGAGTTTCTTAAATTATAAGACAAATTTGTTTCATGTAACATGTTTCATTATTGTCATATTTGAAGGGCCCTTATCAGGTAATTGGTAGCATAAACTTAAGCTCAAGTACAGGAAACTTTTCAAATCATCAGTTTTCCACACTTTTCCACACAAGTTCATCTGATTTTTGACAGCGTACATTTTTTCATAAAATGATTGATCTGAAGCTCATGCAGAGGTGTTCTGAATTGAGAAGGCAAAGGAGGTAAATTAATGTAAATAAAAAAAAAAAAACATTTTATTGACGACACATTTTTCAGGTTAAATAAGCATTAGCTACTTATACTGTCAAATAAACAAAATCAACCAGTACAATTCTATTTTGTATTTTTACATTAACAATGTAATAAATGTTTTGTTTATAAAAACTAAATATATTTCCTCATCAAGTTGCTTTTTAAGTTTCTCATCAAGTGCTTTTTAGAATTATTTAATTTATTCCAAAATAATAACTGTAACAAATTTCATATTTCATGTATATTTTTGGTAAATTGATGTCTTTTCTTTTTAATAGTCAACTTATTTTCAGACCATCCATCATCAAAGCTCGGTAAACACTGCCAAGTGTCATACACAGACACAGAGATGCACCTTTATTTGAACCAAACTGATTGCCCACAAAAAAAACCCCACAGATAGTGTTTTCAAGTTTGAATTAGATGTGTTTTAAGGCGGTGATATCTAATTGGGTGAGTCGTTTACTTACTTTTTAATTAGTCATCCCATTAAAGTCATTATAAATTTAGACCGTTTCGCAAATGCTGAACACGCACAAAAATGAGAGGCGGTATTATTTATCGCGTTATCAGCGTAATAGACCATGGATATGACGTCACTTTGTAGGCCAACCAGCAATTAGCATTACACTGATTCCCTCTACAAAAACCTTTACCATAAAACAAGCTCTGTGATCAACAAAAGTTTATTATACGTACACATTTTGTCCATCAAGATCATTTTCACAGATCACTACACCACGGTCCCACGACTTAAACGTCACCATCACTAAGCTTCCGACAACTCTTTCAGTTTTTATCTAAAAAAACGTTTTCCAAGAAAGTTTGAGTTTACCTGTTTGGCATGATGACGTTTAATCTCCCCAACTGCTTCTGTAGCCACATGTTAGCAACGGCCTTTTTCAAGACACGTAACAGTTTTAAAAAATCATGAGTGGGTAATACTGATGTATTTTATTTGGTAGAATATGTGAAAGTGTCTTGAGCTGGTGTTAACCACAGACCTTGTTTCAGCCATTTAACCAAAACCCATTCAAGAAACCCATTGAATTTGGGACGAGGATGAAACCGGAAATGTCAAAATGCCAAAGTGCTAAAACTCATTTCTGCGTTTTGGCCTACAAATTTATTTAACCCAATGGAGGCATTAGCCGCGTTTCCACTGCCGGGCCAGGGCCGGGCCAGGGCCGGGCCAGGGCTAACAGCGAGCCGAGCCGAGCCAGTGGCCTCGGGCCTCAAGCACCGGGCTTGCGTTTCCACTGCCGGGCCAGTAGCCCCGCAGCGCTGCCCTAAACCCCGCCCCTAACACGCCTTTCTGGATCAAACGTCATACAACCCAACCCATTTCAGCGGGTATTATGAGTTTATTTATTTTTTAAAGGTACAATATGTAAGAATTTTGTAATAAAATATCCAAAAATCACTTGCACAGTGTGATATATTTCCTGCAGTTGTGTACTTACAATATCCCAAAAGTCTCCAAAGATTTTTTATTTCAGAGAAATCTCAATTTTAAATTAGTGGCCGTCCCGGAAAAAAATGTCGCCTGTCAATGACGCAATATCCGCGCTATCCTCGGTTTCCGTTCATACTGCCATAACCATGACGTAACCATGGCGACAGACGTGGACAACTGCGTAGTGCGTAAAGTTTAGCGGCACGCAGTTCTTGTTTCTTTCAAACATAGACCATGGCAAGCAGACTTTGGGACAAACAAGGAGAACTAAAATGAGGATCAATATCAGCGTGGCGTTTTTGAGATGCCGAGAGCTCCACGTCCGCGACTAACTTGGACTTGACAGAGCTTCACGAGTCACGACTTGACGGCTTTATTAGACAGGTGAGCAAATGTACATAAAACAAATCAATGTTATATAACGTTAGCTCAACATGATGAAATGTTAGAATATGGTCAGTATGTTATTCTAATGTTGATCTAGCTGACTGCTAGTTTCGTATAGCAAACGAACTAACACGTAGTATAACATTATAACTTTCAACACACATTTAAATGCCGTTTAGTGTGATAGTGTAACATTAGACCAATTGAAGCAGCACTGCGTTTACCTCACAAGTTTAATTCGTCTAATAAACTGACCTGTGTGAGTAATCCAGCACTTGCGAGTAGTTCAGTAGAATTAAATGTCCTTATTCATTTATATCCGCGGGACTCGCGTGTGATATCGGTCACTTTAGCAACCGCGACCTGCTTCATACCACTGTAATGTTAAAAACATGAATGATTGCACTCATCCATAAACATTATTAAATCCATCAGCTTGACAGCAAGTCCCATCATTCAGCTCATCACTGCATCATAAACCTACGCCTTTGTTATTGTTGGAAACTGCGCCCTCTTGTGGTGAAAAAAACCTACATATTGTGCCTTTAAGTGAGGAAGATCGCATGTATATTAACTCACCGGCTGTGGCTGCAGCCTGCAATAGTGTCCAGATTGTCTCGCGAGTCACCACTAACAGAGGGACGGTGACCCAGCACACCGTCCATCAAGTCGAACCATGGAATTTGGAAAGTTCCTTCTCTGAGCTCCGCTTTGTCCATTGTGCGTTTGAATCGCCTTGTACAATACTGCGCCCGCAACTTTTTTTTTTCCTGAACTTGAAGCGTTGGTCGCTGAATGCTTAGCTTAGAAAGTTCAGCCTCGATGTATTTTATAATGTCTTCGTTTCTTCACACGCCGTCAAATTGACGTTGTACCCTTTCTTCTGCCCAAATGCTCAGAAGAGCTTTGGTATCTTCGACAGACCAGTACAGGCGATTCACCATTTCGAGCAGCGATTATTTTGCGCGATATAAAAAAGTGAAATGTGCATCTTGCTTCAGATCATAACGTTCCATAACACCGATAAACTCCGCCTTTTACCTTGACCACGCCTCTAGCCCGAGCTGGCCCGCTTTGGCCCAAGGTATTCGACGGGCCAGAAATCCTGGCCGTTGGCCCCGAGTAAGCCCCGATCAAGCCCCGGAAGTGACAGTGGAAACGCGACTGGCTCTGGCACGCACTAGCACGGCTCGGCCCTGGCCCGGCAGTGGAAACGCGGCTATTGCCTCCTCTCATGTGACTTTACCCTATTAATTTTCAATTGCCCCCCACCAAACTCATTGCATGCTTTAAGGCAGGAGTTCTCAACTCTAACCCCCAAGGTCCACTTTCCTGCAGAGTCCAGCTCCAACCCTAATCAAACACACCTGAACCAGCTAAACAAGTGCTGAATCCAAAATAACCCTCAATCACTATTCCCTATACGTTTGTCCACAAATACGGTTTACTTGAAGGAGTGAATGAAAATGAGTGAGCAAATTTGGACAGCCGTTGTAGCCATTGTCTCGTTATTGCTGTGCAATGTGGGATTGAATGAGTGCACTCGATAACATCCACTATGGTTTCGGACACCACTACAAATGGCTGTCCCCTCAAGTAATGCTCTATTTTATGGGTATAGGGGGCGATTTCGGATTCAGCCAAGGTCTTCAGGGCTACTAGAAAAATACAGGCAGGTGAGTTTGATCAAGGTTGGGGCTATACTTTGCAGGTAAGTGGAGCTCAAGGGCCAGAGTTGAGAACCTCTGCTTTAAAGGTGCAGTAAGCGATTTTGGAGAAATGCCGTTGAAAGAGGAAACACAACACAACTGTAGCTAATCAGGAGTAGGGTGAAGGGGGAGGAGAGAGTGAGCAAGAGAGAGATTTGAAAAGGGAGACTAGAAAGAAAGACAGCTGAGAGACATTACAAAAGAGAAAAGGTCAAAGGAATATCACTGGGAAAAGAAGGGTTATGATCAAGAGCTTTAGGACCTGCGTTAATATTAGAAAAGCTTTCCGGCGCTGGAGAAACGGAGGCAGGAAGGCCTGAAAACGGAGGCAGAGTTTGTGTTGTTTCTGCTCTATACATGAGTGACATTAGCCTGGCAAGCCAGACCCACATCAAGATGTTGGGTCTGGGAACTCACCATTGGCAGAGCTCAATCCGAGGGGCGGGATAAACGGTTGTCTTTCAAATTCCCTCTGCACGCAATATGATAGCGTTACAACCAACTAGGGCTGGGCGATGTGACGAAATATATCGTCTAGACGATAGAAAATGTCTATCGTTTTATATAAGGCTCTATCGTTTACGCCACGATAAGGCGTTTTACGGCAGAATTTTACGTCAGGATGCACCTCACGCGGCATGCCCATGCACGCTCCAATACATAAACAAACATGGAGGAAGACGGTAGTAGACCAGGGTAATTCTCAACAAGATGACCAGCCAACCCAAACCGAGGAGCTTGTTCCTAAAAGAGGGGCGACTTCTGTTGCATGGACGTGGTTTGGATATAAGAAGACCGACGTGGACCAGACAACAGTTGTTTGTAAAGTTTGCCGGCTCCCAGTGCCAACAACGGACTCCAACACTACTAATTTATTTTATCACCTGCGCAAGAACCACGAAAAAGAATACAGAGAGAGTCAACGAGCAAAAACTGCAAAAGCAGCGTCGAGTGGTGACGTAAGCGCTCAAAACAAACTCCAGACACAGACGCTGCAACAGGCTTTTACTTTTTTCAGTTTGTTACTTTTTTATATCCAATAGGAATAGACAGGCCATTATCAATATTTGTGGTTGCTTTCTATTGCCCCCTCTAGAGAACAAAGAATACTACTTGGAAACATCTTTACACCTACATGATGCTACAAGAGAAGTCTGGGTGGTGTTACTGTTAAAAGTTGGCTGCTGCTATATGTTGAAATATTTTAATGGCAGCAGGTGTTAACATTACCAACATGTCTTGCTTGAAAAAAAGGTTCTAAATAAAATAAATATTTAGTCCCTACCTTTATTTGTTTTGTATATCATTTCAAACTGCATTTCCACATTGCAATTTTATATAGACTATTCATGAACTGAATTAACAGAAAAATTGCTATATCGTTATGTATATCGTTATCGGGATATCAAATGAGCTATATCGGGATATGAAATTTTGGCCATATCGCCCAGCCCTACAACCAACCAGAGCATTTTCCCACCCGCGGAGCTAGTTGATAGATTAAACTTTTGCTGTATCTGGTCGGCAAAACTACGAACACATCTTAATTTTTTAAGAATGACTTAAATGCCGTTCTTTGTTCTTTTCTCAAAGAAAAGCTTAACTCCAAGTCCTCCTGAGTCATAAGACCGCTGTTCGCCAGCAGCAGCAGCCATTCTTTGTTTTCAAGTAGTAGGGAACCGTCGCAACTCTGTCGTCATTTTTTAAGCCCGCCCGCCGACTCTATACACGATGTGATTGGCCTGACTAGAGTTAGGTTTTTCCAGCTCGAAAGCCAACTGCAAAATAAAATTTGCTGCCGCTAGGGTGCGTCTAGATTTCTAGGCTAGAGGAACATTTGATTTGCTTTGTTTTACAGAACCAAGATATGCTGTTGTTGTAATGTTAGCTGTACAAATAGGACAGTTTTGAGTGTAACCATGTTTCTATCCAAAGTTGCGAATTTAACTGGAATGTTGCATAAATATTTGAGAATAAAGAAGCATTTCCATCTTATGTTCAAAAGAACAAAATTGTCACTTCCTGTGAAATTGGTGCAAAATATCTGTAATAAAAATGGAAGTTGCTGCCAATGGGGAAGAAACTGTGGCTCTTTTTCCTTACATCATAAACGAGTTAAACCAAATCATTTTGATGACAGACCTCAGCTCGGGAATTTCAGTGTGATCAATCCAACATTTGAGATGCTGTGCAATAAAATTAGTCACATAGCTATTGTTTGTCTGCATACTGTGCTGCTGGTGAATAAACAATGAACTCTTGCTTGTACATACTCTTGTGTACTGGAAGTTTTTTTTTTTGTTGTTGTTCTTTGTCATTCATTCATCATTGCTTTTTCCCCCCACAAAGCATTATTTTGCTTCGCTTCAGCTATGATAAAGAGACATACCTCTGCATGTGTTTGTTTGGGTTGATTTCAAATATCAACAGTGTTTCTCAGAAATCACTTGTTGCACCAAGTGACTCCCGCTGCGCTTGTGTTGCTGTAGGACAATGTCACTTTAGAAAAATTTGTGATTTTTACAGTTTTTTAATGTCATATGTCGTAATATACATGTTGTTTTATTTTTGTACTGTGGATTATTTTCTCATCAAATTGTATGCCTCCCTTACCTCCTCAAATGAAACACCCCTGTAAACCTAATGGAGAAAAACTTGCTCTTGAACTGTTTTGCATAGGGATACAAACCATTGTCTCCTATAGATCCCACTCTAGCAGTCATGTTCACAATGATGCCACTGTGCTGTTTCTCTTTCTCTGGGGGCTGCTGGCCAAACGCCCCTGTTCCCTTCTGAAGCAAGGGGACAAAATATTTGGCCATCACTAGAGGACCCACCGTATTAGTGGCCAAAGTGGAAATGGTTCCCTGTAAAAAAAAAAAAAATCGCCACCATATTTGAATATGCCCCACAAAGTAGCCTATTATTTCAATACTGATAAAAGGTCAGTTGGTCACCTGAGCGGACACGTCTCGTAAACTTGTTTCTCCTTTACCGGATGGATGAAGCATAGCTGAAGAATTAATGATCAAATCCACTTTCCCAAAGGCAGATTTGACACTTTCAGCCGCTCTCTTGATGTCATCTTCCCTGTTGACATCCAGTTTCAGTACAGTCATCCTGCCCGCGTGCTGCGCGCTCAGCGCTGCCAGTTGTTGTGCGGCGTCCGGATTTCTGCATGTCGCGATAACGGCTGCTGGAGATTTGTTTAAAAGTAGATATCTGCAGAAGTCTAAGCCCAGACCTCTGCTTGCTCCCTGCACAAGCGCCACAGCAGCCATGACTCCTCACGAAAATCAGACGCACGTGAATTTGTATTGACCGCCCTCTATGGGCGGCAGAAGGACGCTTACACAACAAACTAGTTTTGTAACTATTATCTTGCGTATTTCCGTACTCGATGTTACTTGGGAGTAATTTCAATTCAGATGGCATTTAAAAAAAGTTTTTTTTTTTTTTAGGTAGCAGGCTACAAATATTAGGCCTACATCTAGTTTGTCAATTATGATTGTAGGCCTATAAAATCACATTATATTTTATAGGCTATGTTTAAAATTTACGACTAATACTAAAGTATCTAATAAGAAATAGCCTACATTTGCAAATTTAGGCTTACTATATTATCAGTAGAAGCCAATGTAGCATATAGTCATTGAACAGCCCTAAAAGCATTTACAATTAAGGGACTCTTAAAATGCATGAATGTCATTGCATTAGACTCAAAAAGTGGCATATTATGTGAAGAAAAATATGCTAAAACATAGAATTAACTCTACTACTATTCTTTGACATTTTGCAGTTACTTTTAAGCAGCTGCATGGTCCCAATGTCATTTTGGTCAATTTATGATTTCAGTTGCTCTCAGGAGCACACATGTGTCTTAGAAAGGAAAGAGAGAGAAAAAAACATTGTTCAAATGTGTCTCATGCGCGCAGCAATCTGTAATCTTGTGAATTCAGTATGTGTTTGGGTAGCGCCTTTTCCGTTTGTATAGCATGCCATAGGTAGACGGTATAGGTATATATATATATATGGAAACAAGCTGCACTGTCGCCTCCTAGTGGCAATATATATATTATATATATATTGCCACTAGGAGGCGACAGTGCAGCTTGTTTCTAAATAAAACTTCAGGATAGTACCGGTACTTTACAAAACAAGAAAAGTAATGATATTCCGTCTGGTTTCTGTGGAATAATGTTCTTTTATTATTTATTTTTTTAATGCTAAAAAGTGATTTTCTTGGGGTTGTAGCACACTTTGCAGAATAGTTCTATTAGACCCACAGATATTCCTGATATTAATATATTAGAGACCTAATTAATTAATATAGAGACTTTCAGAGCGAATAATAACACATTGTTTTTATGATTTAGAGCAATGTTTTTCTATTTTTATCACTATTTCCTGTTTTTTCTTCTTATTTTTTCCCCCAGTTAATAATTAATTAATTAAGAGGGGAATCTCCTCAACCACCACCAATGTGCAGCATCCACCTGGATGCATAGCCTGGATGATGCAACGGCAGCCATATAGAGGGTATGCGCATGACGTCACCGTCGGCCGGAGTGAATGCGGTCACGCCCACAAGTGGCAAAAAGACTGAGCGGCAGCATTTGTTTTCAGCGTGAATGCCGTGAAAATCACACAAAACACATCTAAAACGGGAAAGAGCTTTGCGATTGACTGTACAACTAGATTTGACCAGAAATCTGAGGTACTGTATATTTTTACAGACTGCAAAAAGCTACAGAACAGACTATATTCTGCATAATTGGATGTTTTTAAATAAACACTGACAAAAAACTATACAAGTTTTAGGGCTGGACGATATGATGATATACAGTATAACATTAATGTAAGTGATCACTCGGATTTAGACCTATCTATATTGTATTTATATAAAACGTTTACAGGCAAATTGTCTTCATTTATTTCCCCGGCATCGAAATCAGGCACATATAAATGTCAGGAAACACGATTCCTGGCTGCATGTCAATATCCATGGATCACTGGATCTTTGATAAGTTGTAAGGAACACTATATCGAGTCCAACTTTTAGTTTAAACTGATAATAGTTTGTTTTACTCGCGTTAACTCCAGTCACGCAGCAGCTCTTCTGCCACTCAGTCCCGCTGAGGGGGGCGTGTTCCGGCGGGGAAGTGACGTTAATGCATTCCCTCTATTGCGCCAGAACGCCCACCACATACTGGTGGAGAGGAGGAGACAGTGATGAAGATAAAGTGTAGCTATATGGTTAGCATAGGCCTACCATTTTTAATTAAAACGTTAAAATTGAAATAAAGGTGTGCTGGATGGTGATGTGATGGGAAAATATTTATTTGATTACCACAATTTTCACTGACAAAATTTTAAATGTTTTTTTTTTACTAAAACTACTGTAACACTAATTCGTATGAGTGATTGTGGCGTACGGATTCGTACGATCTCACTCGTACGAATTTGTACGATTTGTCTAAACCATAGACAGTAAAAGAAATGGACAGAGCGATCTCATTGGAACTCAGTTGAGACAGTTGAAGCCCACTTTTAGCGATTTTTGAGAACTTCCGTTCCTGATGCGCAGACTCAGACCGACTCAAACTAAGCTTGATGACGTGAGCAACCTGTCTGACAGACGTTAATCTTCTAGTAGCTGTGCGTGAAAACTGCCAACGTTAATCTTGCAGAGACGGGGAACTTGAGCAAAGAGTTCTTTGGCGTGAGTGAGCAGGAGTAAGAATTCCGTTGCTTTTATGGACTCATTATCTATGGGCTTCTCCCTTGACGGGACGTCCCCCCGATTGCCTGCGAGCTTCTCCTCCTGTCTGTACGGTAACTTCTGTACAGCGCGACAGAGAGTCGAGTGGTTATGACGCAATCGTTAGCCTATTTTTACTAAATCTGTTTCTACGGGGCCATAGTGTAACATAGAAGGTAATGGAGCCCTTTATACATTGTCGTGTTTCTTTAGAAATAAATAATGGACAAATGGAGTCTTTAAACGCCTCAGATGTAAAGTTATTCGCTGTCAAAGTGACGCAAAAATGAATGGGAGTCAATGGAAATGCTAACGCAAGTGAAGTTCTGCTACAACATGGCGGCACCCGGCCGGCTTCAACTTCCGGTCGATGGATTACCCCCTTGGTCTAAACCCACGTGCACTTGATGGTTTAGGGGCGGGGTCAGGGAGGTCATACGAATTCGTACGAATTAGCCACGTAGCAGGCTACCTCGTAAAAATTTGTAGCCTACGAATGGGCTATATGCACGCATAACTTCCGCGTTTGACGCAAGGATGCTCGTGCGTTTCCGTTTGAGGAGATTTAAAGCGGAGGAAAACCGAGGAAAACGGGATTATGGCAGAGTCTTCAAAATTTACTGTCCTCTCGTCTTTGAAACGAAACTTTAATACGTTTAGATGTAATTTTATATATAGTTATGTTTATTTAATATAATAAACACAGAAGCATATGCCCAGCTGCACTACTTCCTGAACTTCAGCCAGCTCCTTGTTTCCTGTCTGACATTATTGGACAAACTGATTAACCCAGGTGTGTCTGGTATTTGTTACTGGTCAGGCACACCTGAATTAATCAGTTTGTCCAATAATGTCAGACAGGAAACAAGGAGCTGGCTGAAGTTCAGGAAGTAGTGCAGCTGGGCATAAAGCCTATTGAGTATAAAAAACAATATAAATTCTCGGTATAGCATTGGACTCTACGATCGGCGGAAGTAATCCAGCATCCTTAGACCTTCACCGGAAATACCGCCGTGCATAGAGCCCATTGCCGTGAGATCGGGTTGGAAATTACATCAGACACAAAATGTTGATATATTCTGTTACTTACTGTAATATAGTATCAACAATTGATCACGATTATAAACTGCCGTCGTGTATTTGGTTAGCCCTATATTATCTTCCAAATTCTTATTTGTTGTTGTGAGGGACAAAAGACTGACACCAGCTTGCTAGATCACTTGCATAAAAACAACATGACAAACTTCTCTCAGTTTTTTCGGAACATGGTGTGCGAAAATGACGAACCACCACCAATGATCTCCTCTAAAAATACAGAAATCCGCGCGTCACTGAACGTTAATCGGATGCGCATCTTTGCGCGCGCAGCTGTGATCTCGTGCCATCATCGGTTTCTCTGAAAAGTTCATGGATAAAAGGAGCACGGCATGGTGCTGGGCGATACCAACAGAACTAGTGTCGCGCAAAGCCACGGACAAACTATGAAGCCCTTCATGGCCGAGGTGCGCGCGAGAGAGACAGGTGTTGAAACATCTAACGGTATAATGATCTCCGAGATCCTCGTGCCTCGAGTATTCAAAATTGCAGACGAGTCTGGAGAAATGGCAGTGTCTACGGGCTCCGGTTCCTTGGATATGAAGCCCTCCAGCTCGCCGATCCTACTGGAGATGATGGAGGTGGCAAACGGCACGAGCTGCGCGGAGCAGATCCTCAGCTACGGAGAGGTCGAGAAGGTGCTGATCGGTGGGGTGCTGACTATGCTCACACTCATAACCATCTGCGGGAACCTGCTCGTGGTCATCTCTGTGTGTTTTGTGAAAAAACTACGGCAGCCCTCCAACTATCTGATCGTGTCCCTCGCGCTCGCGGACCTCTCCGTTGCGCTCGCGGTGATGCCGTTCGTCAGCATCACGGACCTGATCGGTGGCCGATGGATTTTTGGCAAGTTCTTCTGTAACGTGTTCATAGCCATGGATGTGATGTGCTGCACCGCGTCCATCATGACCCTTTGCGTTATCAGCATCGACCGGTGAGTTTTCTTAACAGTGGACTGATTATGTTCATCACAATGATGATCACTGATCAGTTTATTGATACATACATGATAAATGATTTGGCAACACTTTACAATAACGGTCAGTTTGTTATCATTAGTGAATCCATTAGGTATAATTAACTAACAATCAACCATCATTTTTTTATTATTATCAATTTTGTAAAAACAAAAAAATATATAAAAATTTTTTTTATTTTAATTTACATAAAATATTTTACAATGATGTAAAAAAAAAAGTGCCCATATTTCCATCTGTATTTTCCCTCTATCACAGGTACCTGGGCATCACCAGACCCCTAACATACCCGGTGAGGCAGAACGGATGGTGTATGGCCAAAATGGTGCTTTCAGTGTGGCTGCTCTCTGCGTCAATCACCTTGCCACCGCTCTTTGGCTGGGCGCAGAACGTGAACGATGACCGCGTGTGTCTGATCAGCCAGGACTTTGGCTACACTATTTACTCTACAGCTGTTGCGTTTTACATCCCCATGACTGTCATGCTGGTCATGTATAACCGCATCTACCGTGCCGCCAAGCTCAGCGCTGCCAAACACACCATCACTGGCTTCCCTCGTGCAGGACAAGAGGAGGAAGAGGAGGATGAGGTGGAAGTGGAAGGGGCCGATGGGACGGAAGGTCCCATGGGTGTGGATTGCGTAACCGTTGCGATCAAGCTTCAGAGGGAAGTGGAAGAGTGTGCGTGTCTGCCTCGAATCCTGCGAGGAGTGGGCAGGAGGAGCTCGGACCGCAGGAGCATTTCCATATTCAAGCGGGAACAGAAGGCGGCAGCCACGCTCGGGGTGGTGGTAGGAGCGTTCACCGTCTGCTGGCTCCCGTTCTTTCTCCTGTCTACGGCCCGGCCCTTCATCTGTGGCACAGAGTGTAGCTGTGTCCCGCTGTGGGTGGAGAGAACTCTGTTGTGGCTGGGCTACGCCAACTCACTCATCAACCCCTTTATCTATGCTTTCTTCAACCGCGACCTGCGTACCACGTACCGAAGCCTGCTCAGCTGCCGTTACCGTAATATTAACCGCAGACTGTCAGCCGCCGGCATGCATGAGGCCCTACGACTGGTGGAAAGACCGGAGGGGGTTGTCTCTGGGTGACCCGAACAGTGCACATAACATACAAAGAGTTCAGAGGTTAACATTTGTAACTCACAAGCCTAAATGGTCATGATGGCATTTAGGATGTGTCATGTTGGGAAGGTGTCACAGTGTACTGACAGTACGTACACAGACAAAACAGTGGCCACTTCAGACAGAGGTGCATTATGGTCAATGCAGTTGCATTTTCTCATCTTTGCTGACACAGGAACACATTATCACTGGCTTTTCTTTAGTACTTCAGAGAAAATACATCTGTTTCAAACCACAAAACAAGAAATGGACCAACCCATTTCACAGAATTGTTTCTTATTTTAAATATGTATATATATATATATATATATATATATATATATATATATATATATATATATATATTTAAAACTATATACTTTGTGTTATATTACCTTTACAGAAAATTGCATAAAACGAATTCGTGGAAACAGTATCATGGATTTTTTTTTTTACCACAAAAATTATATATGCTGTTGTCTCCCATTCACCACTAGAAGTTTACCGACTTCCGCTTCTGAGAACCCTGGAAATGTGAAAGGGGTCCATATATATACGTATATATTTATATATGAATTCAATGATTTTTTTAATTTATACAGGACACATGTAATATTGCATCAGTATCCTGATAACTTAATATTGTGAAATTTTGAGGGAATCGAGATATACAGATCAATAGAACTGTAGGGAGAAATCTATTTAGACTGATCCATTCTTAAAAATAGAAAACCGCCCAGCTCTGTTTCTGCTTTAAAAACGTTAATCGAGCTCAACGAGCTGTGAGAAACTGGTTTGTCAACTGTCAGCACCTGTTAGCTCACTAAGTGTGATTCATCTGTGTCTGATTCTTGCGACTTTATGTTAAACACAACTTGTCATTTCTACTTTCAGTCTGCACATGCTCACTCCGTATAAAATCACTGATTTTATGCATTGATGGAAAGTGCGTTTAAAACACAGGTCTAATGTTAGCTAAGCTTCTTCCTGCAGCTGTGGTTAAGCCAGAAGCAACAGGAGGTAATCTGATCACCAATCAGTAATTAAGGGGGTTCTGATGAGATTGACTCGGCTCTTTTTCTTTTTGTTGGCAGCTATTTATAGTTCGGTTCTTATGCAATTAGCTTTTATGTCACGAGTATTCATTTAGTATACTTGTCACGGAAAAATTCATCTCGTTGTGATCAGAATTACCTGTGCATAAAAATAATATCATCAAATTTGTAATGACTTTTGTATGGTGCTGTCTAAAGTCTGCCTTTGTAAATATAAAAAAAATGCACCAAAATGTAAAGATACCTATCTCAATGTGTCTTTATTGTTGTATACATGTTTTAATGTCACTTCTTGTGCATATTTTCCCATACGAGTTGGAATAAATGATGAGAAAATTGGGATTTTTGTGAAGTACTTTTGTTTACAGTTCGAATTCACTCCAGAACATTGACAGATCTATATAAAACTGAACTGCTGCCTAGTTACCCCACTAATAATTTTTCCCCCCCCATTAGCATGCCATTTCTATGACTGCACCTTGAATATTGAATACACCTAATACCGGTACACACTCAGGGTGAGTGAAGGATGGCAGGAGAAAGAAAAGAAAGAGAAGCGAAGTGCGGGGGAGGTATTCACTTAGAATCACTAAAGCACTTGTTATGAATCAAATCTAATTAGTTGCCCAGTCCTCGAGGCCCTGCTGGGAATTCTATTTCAAGGGTCCAGAGTGTCTACCTGTGACAGCTACCTGCCGCTGGTGAAAGACTCATTCACAGAGAGGCTGGACTGCCGATGATGATGATGGTCCTGATTTCACACCAGTGTTTCACTCAACATGAATCTACTCTGGTCCATGAGTATTGCATGAGCTCCTGCTGACGCAAAGAAATAATTTCTGCCTGCTGAGCTGAAGAAATAAAATAACGTAAAGGCTGATGCTGCAGTGGTAGATGGACTGGAGGACTGTAAAATTGTAGGTCATAATAATTCCCCCACTGAGAAAATCCTTTCAGTCATATAAAAGCGAGATAATAGCCCATTTTGAGTGTCCTATAATCACCTGTGACACACTTCTTTGTGTCTTTTTATTACTTTCCTAATTTTCCTACATCTTTATTTCCTAATTTTCCATCAGCGTTAAGGTGTTCTCTCCATTCATCGTGACAAATGATCAGTAATGTGTATTATTCCAGATTATTGACTAACCTGAGTCCATTTCTCCTTATGAACATTAATTATTTATAGATTTTCTTTGCATAAATTAATTACATTTGGATTAATTCTGAAAATCACATTAGGCCCAGCTAAATTATCCTGCTAAAATTCTGCTAATATTTTCTGTGAAGCTCATTTGCGTCCTTGGCATTCACACTTTGTCAACTTTTTAGAGCGCTCTGAGCACAATAAATAATAATCATAATAATACAATTTCCTCTTGCTTTTTTCTCTCTCGTCTTGCTGTATAGAAGCAGTCAGTCGGTCGTTGAACTGCTCTTTATGTGATTTGTGTGCTAGAAAAATAGATACATCTGCATTCTTCATCAGTCTGCATGCCATTTAATTATGAAGTGCCTCAGAAGGTGTTCACAGAAATCGCTCCGACTTCCTGCTGAAAGACAGCGTGAGAGATGAGAGCACCGAGAACCAGAAAAATAACAAGAGGCTTGATCTTTGAGCATTCTGAGCACTTAAGACTGATTAGCTCATACTTGTGTTTATGCTTTAAAAAAAAGTAAAAAATATTCAAGCTGGCTTATTTCACTACAACAGTAATTACAGACACTGATCATGATTGCATAATTTGCATTATATACAACATTAACAATCAGTGGCATTCAGAAAACAAAAATCATGATTTAAAAAAAAAATCTGTATTCTGATTGGGCTGTTTGCTAAAAGGACTTGTTGCTGCTTATCTAAAATGTTGCCTGTTACTCATTGGTAACTTTGAGGATGACTTTTACTCACAAATCCACTCAGATCTGTCTCATTGCTTTTGTCTGTCACTCATTTTTTTCCATCAGAGTGGAAAGCTGTTCAGTGTCAAACTACAGGCCTTTTTTCGCCGCACTGATTATGTGATAACCTAAGGACTTGCTAAATTGCCAATGTAATTATGTTAATGTTAATGTAATTATGTCTAAAATAGATCATAATGATATTTGAGTGACTGCCTATACATTTGGCTTCCATCAGGTTATGTTCCTCTGGAAGAAGAACCAAAAGGCAGTACAACTTAAATTGACAATTTCTGAATAGTCACTCAGTCCTAGTTCCCATCATTCTTAATTTTTAAATAAAACTGCTCAAAATACTTGAAGCAAAGTTATAATCAAGATGTGTGATGTGTGACAAAAGTGATGTCTGGAGGGTGTATTTGCACAATTTTTGCTTTTAATGACACTTCAGGTCCTAATAATAAACAATCAAAATATGAGTAGGCCTATGTTATATTGGGAAGAAGTATCCTAACTCGGTTAAGGTATAAAAATTATTTGTCAAGAAAGGCAAATTCCAGCATATTATTAAATATAGGTTTTACTGTATTACTCAAAAAGCATAGAAAAACTAAAAGCTCACAGGAAATAAGGCATTCATTGACTAAAATGTAATCAGTTATTAATATTTTGTTGGTTCACCTTAACAGCAGACCATTTTTTCTGGGCATTGACTCGCTAAACTTTGCACATGTGTATTGCTTAACTTCTTTCCAACCCTCTTTCGCACGTACGATCATCACACCGGTGTGATCAGGCTGGTCCCTGGAGCGTACGAGTACACCGGTGTGATTATGGTGCGTTCACGTGCTATGGAAAATATGATATTTTCCACTTGTGAACTGGTATTTACCAGTGTGTTGCGTTCAAGTGCTTTTGTTGTCGTAATGTGGTAAAAAGATGGAGATCCAGACCTGTTATTTAGCTAAAACTATTTTAGATTGCTTAAGTCATCTGCTACAGCAAGAAAATGATTTATCAAAACTCAAACGTAAATAATATATGCTGTATATTTTCTAGATCATGAATAGTACATATTTTTACCATTCACAACTCTTGCGTTGCTCTCCGCCATTTTGAAAAGGTCAAAGGTAATCTCATCTCGGCAACTCGTGCATCAAAATATTCTACGAGTTGCCCAGTGGAAAATACCAGATGAGGGGGTGTTCATGTGCATTTTCCATGTCGGCTTTTGGTATTTACCATAATTACCATAGCACGTGAACGCACCATTAGAACGGTCAGTGGATCACGTGATGAACTGCCAAATTCAACGTGCTTTCGCGCGTTGGCTGGCGCTGAGCCAGAGACGGACGCGCTCAGTGCTGTCATATTTCAACCACTGAACCACATAATGTTTATTTTAGGTTTCAGACATTTAAATACACATAAGTAGCAGTACTAGCAAAAAAAATATTTTGAGTTTGTAAAATACACAATGATGTCTGTGGAATAATACTCCTTTCCATTATAATAAGACGACACGTTTTATTCATATCAGATACACTTTGTGTAGCTTTACATTTTACCATATTCTTCTTCCAGTTCACCGGCCACTTACTTTTATGTATTTCGTGAGAAGTTGAGGAATTGAGTGTTGTAAACTAAAATGGCGCCGCCCATCGTACATACAGCTCAACTAACGCGATCACCTTATAAAGGTGTTTAAAGGGATACTCCACTTTTTTTGGAAATAGGCTCATTTTACAACTCCCCCAGAGTTAAACTGTTGAGTTTTACCGTTTTTGAATCCATTCAGCCGATCTCCGGTTCTGGCGGTACCACTTTTAGCATAGCTTAGCATACATCATTGAAGTGGACAAGACCATTAGCATTTCTAAAAGAAAAATGACCAAAGAGTTTAGATATTTTTCCTATTTAAAACTTGACTCTTCTGTAGTTACATCGTGCACTAAGACCGACGGAAAATGTAAAGTTGCGATTTTCTAGGCTGATATGGCTAGGAACTATACTCTCATTCCTGCGTAATAATCAAAAAACTTCACTGCCGTACCATGAGAGCAGCAGGCGTAATGATATGACGCAGTGCCTGAAAATAGGCCACCTTCCGTCAACACAACGGAACTATTTTCAGGCGCTGCGTCATATCATTACGCCTGCTGCTCTCATGGTACGGCAGTGAAGTTTTTTGATTATTACGCAGGAATGAGAGTATAGTTCCTAGCCATATCAGCCTAGAAAATCGCAACTTTACATTTT